TTTTGTTTTTCCACCATAACCTTCTAATTATCTAAGGAGCCAACCAGGTGATGTGGGTCAAAATAAAAGGAGAGGTCAGAAAATGTAAGTTTAGTAAATCTAAACTGCAGATGTGCAGTAATGGTGTGTGGGGCTGAGGAGTGATCCCCCTGTAGCTGGAACACACCCTGCTGTCCCCCTTTTTTAAATAGGGGTTACCACCCTGGTCTGCCAGTCCAGTGGGGCTGCCCCCAATGTCCCGCGCGATATTGCAGAGCCGCGTCAGCCACCACAACCCCTTCAACATCTAGAGCCGTAAGGAACTCTGGGCAGTGCTCATCCACCCCTGGAGCCTTGCCACTAAGGAATTTTTGACCACCTCAGTGACCTCAGCACCAGATATTGGAGAAACGAACCCAAATTCCCCAGACTCTGCTTCCTAACTGGAAGACCTGCCGGTGGGATTGAGGTGGTATTCAAAGTACTCTGTCCATTGATCCAAACCATCTCAAGTAGAGGTTAGCAGCACACAGTCCCCAATATAAACAGTGTTGGTAGCACACTGTTTTTCCTCTCCTGAGGCTCCAGATGGTGGACCAGAAACTTCTCGAAGCTGCCCACTCGGACTCAGTGCTCCCCGCCTCCCCCCGGGAAATTTTGGAAGCTCTGTGCGAGGTGGAAGTTGAAATTTCTTTTGACAGGAGACTCCGTCAGACATTGCCAGCAGATGCTCACAATACGTTTGGGCCTGAGCATCCTCCCCCACCATCGAAGCCAACTCACCACCAGGCAGTGGTCAGTTGACAGCTCTCTTCACCCGAGTATCCAAGACATGCGGCCGCAGGTCAGCAAAGGCGATCATCGAGCTGCGGCCTAAGGTATCCTGGTGCCAAGAGCACATATGGACACCTTTATGTCGGAACATGGTGTTCATTGTGGACAATCCATGACAAGCACAGCTGTCTAATAAAACACAGCTTGATTTCAGATCGGAGGGGGCGTTCCTGCACCCACACCTATCCAGGTCTCACGGTCGTTGCCCAAGTGTGCATTTAAGTCCTCCAGCAGAACGAGGGAGTCACCAGAAGGAGAGCTCTCCAGCACCTCCTCTGAGGACTCCAAAAAGGGTGGGTAGTCTGAACCGTAGTTTCGTGTTTAAGCACAGAAAACAGTCAGGACCCCTCATCCCCTGCGAGGCTACCCGGGGTAAACCCCACATACAGGCACCAAGATGGGGGGGGCAACCAGCATGCCCACCCCTGCTTGGCACCTCTCAGTAGGGAAAACCCCAGAGTGGTATGTCCAGCCCTCTCAATGAAATTGGCTTCGGAGCCAGAGCCAGAGCCATGCGTCAAGGTGAGTCCGACTATATCTAGTCAGAACCTCTCAGCCTCTCACACCAACTCAGGCTTCTTCCCCACCAGAGAGGTGACAGTACACGTACCGAGAGCTAGCTTTTGTAGCCGAGGATCAGACCTCCAAGGTGCCCAACTTCAGCCACCACCCATTACACATTGCACGCGACCACTTTGGCCCCTCCCACAAGTGGTGAGCCCATGGGAAATTCTCAATATGGAGTCAAGCTGACTGCGTGCAGTTACTGTAGCAAAAGGAGTGTTTGGTTGAGGGAAAAATTACCAGAGTAAACAAATACAGTAGCTTATGAATAAATAAGGTGATTCACTCTTAAGTGGGATCTCTGCAGCCGTTAGCTTGACTCCCCTATGAGAGTTTCTCCTAACAGAGATGTTCAGATCAGCTCTTTAACTTAAAAACTAACAAGTTTGTCATAGAAACAGATGTGTGTGTGTGTGTGTGTGTGTGTGTGTGTGTGTGTGTGCGTGCGTGCGTGCGTGCGTGCGTGCGTGCGTGCGTGCGTGCGTGCGTGCGTGCGTGTGTGTGTGTGTGTGTGTGTGTGTGTGGGATATAAATGACAAGTTTACGAGACTGAGGACTGAGTTAAAGCTACAGACCATTTCTCTTCTTAAACTCGGTTTTCAGTCCAGTGATTTGTTCGTGGCATCCTTGCTTGTGATTATCTTGTACACGCTCTCTCTGAAGCTGCTGTCAGAGGTTAGCCGTCGAGCCGTTGCCCGCAGTTCCTCCACACTGCCGGCGTCAGCGTTAGCAAACGACCTCGAGTGTTTCACTGCACAGAGACAAAGCCGGGAAGAACAGAACAACCAGAGATTGGTAAAATCATTAGACAGCATGGGATAAACTTCCACTGTTATGCTGACGATACTCAGTTATATCTAGCCATTAACCCTGATTAACCTAATCGGTTAGGTAGATTACAGGCTTGTCCTGAAGACATAAAAAATTGTATGACTCAAAACTTTTAGCTTTTAAATCAAAACAAAACTGAAGTTCTCATCTTTGGACCTGAAATTCAGAAAAGGAAATTGCTTAGTCACAATGAGGTGACTAAGTGAGGTGGTGCTCACTCCTCACCCCTGCCACATGGACCTCAAGGGATAAACCATCAATCCAGCTCAATGGTCAACTTTCCTCGTGGGGTCACACCCATTAGGACAGTGGGAGGGTTAATCTGAATACTGACTACAGAGATTAAAAAGCAAGTCATTTTGCAATTATATCTACTTTTATTTTATTACATTTTTTCCCTACTATTGCTAATCCTGACTCTGATCCATCTCTCCAACCAACCATCCATTCATCCATCCATATATCAACCATCCATCCATTTATTCATCCAACAATACATCCATCCATGCATCTAACAATTTGTCTATTTATCCATCTACCATCCAACAATCTATCCATGCATAAATTCATCCCTCCATTCATTCATCATTATCCATCTATCCCTCCCTCATCCATCCATCCATCCATCACTCCATCCATCCATTTATCCATCCATCTGTTTAACAATACATTCATCCATCCACCCAACAATTCAACTATCCATCCGTCATCCATCCAACAATTTATTTGTCCATCCATTCATCCATCCATCCATCATCATCAGTCTATCCATTTACCCATCCATCCAACAGATCAACAGATGATGCCATCTCTACACTGTTCTGGCACACCTGGAACAACATATGTAAGCCTGCTATTTGTGGACTATAGCTCTGCATTCAACAATTTTGACCTTGGCTTTGAGCACAACATCTGCCTCTGGATTCAAGATTTTCTAACAAACCGACCACAGTCTAAGCTAGGTCTCCACCGTTCCTCCTTTGTCCCTCAGCACAGGAACCCCACAAGGCTGTGTGCTGAGTCCCTTCCTGTACTCCCAATACACACATGACTGTAAGCCCACCCACAACACCAACGCTATCATTACATTTGTTGATGATACAACCGTGGTGGGCCCAATCAGCCAGGGAAATGAGTCAGCGTACAGGGAAGTAGTGGCTGGTGTGCTGGTGTACAGCTAACAACCTGACCCTGAACACCAACGAAACCAAAGAAATCATCATTGGCCCAACAAGTAAAAAGATGAGCACCAGTCACTCACAATAAATGGAGAGCAGGTAGAGAGGGTGTCACAGTTCAAGTTTCTGGGCACAAACTTATCAGAGGACCTCACATGGACACACAACATCAAATGTCTGACAAAGAAGGTACAACAGTGGCTCTACTTCCTGAGGGCTCTCAGGAAGATCAACCTGCCATAAAAACTGCTGGTGTGGTTTTATCACTGCTCCATAGAGAGCATCCTGACCAACAGCATCCTGGTGTGGTACAGCAGCAGCTCTGCTGCCAACAGGAAGGCCCTGCAGAGAGTAATCACAACTGCAGAGAACATAAACATACACCTGCCTGTCCTGGATGACCTCCTCACCACTCGCTGCCTTCGAAAACCCACAAACATCTCAAACCCACCCTGCTAACATCTCTACAAACTTCTTACGACTGATAAATGATGCCGGGCAATGAAAACACACACCACCAGACTGTTAAACCGCTTTTATGCAACAGCCATCACTGAACTCAATTTTGCTGCGGAAAGGTCACACTAACAGGGATGCTGCTGGACATTAGTGCTCTACAACACCTTTACATGAAGCTAGTTAATCCTGATACCTCATGTGACTGTTCAAATTTATATTATGTTGACTTTATATTCATTTTGTAGTTTAGACATGTCCATGTTTACCATTACCGTGTTTACCTCGTTTTTGTTTTCAAGTCACTCATTCTACCTTACATATCATACTGTGTGGAAATCTGACTAATCAAACATTAGTTAATGCAACAGTTCCCTTATAAAAACGTGCAATGCGTATTATTAATAGGGCCGATTATTAGGCACATACACATCCATTGTTTGTTAAATCACATATCATGAAATTTAATGATTTATTATTGACCCTTTGCACGTGATGTCACACCACTCATGTGACCGCCCCCTTCGCTGGCGGTGGTGGTGGGCAGTATAAGGTACACCTGTGCACTACTCATGATGTCAGATCAGCATCTTGATGTGACACACCTGTGAGGTGGGATGGATTATCTCAGCAAAGCACCGGTGCTCACTATCACACATTTAGACTGATTGTGAACATTGTTTGAGAGAAATGGTAATATTATGTATCTGGAATGAATTTTAGATCTTTAAGTCCATCTCATGAAAAATCGGAGCAGAAACAAAGATGTTGCGTTTATATTTTTGTTGAGTGTAGTTGAAGGAATGCTAGAGGAGTTTTGTTTTTGTTTTGATCGCAAAAAAAATTTCAGGCTCTACTTTTCCCATTGTTTAGTAATCGTGTCGCTCACTGTTTACATGCTTTTGCCGTCCACCATGGTGAACCCACGTGATTAGGTGACGTCGGTGCAAAGGGTCAATACTACAAAATAACGCAAATAATGTATAAAACTAAATTAAAGTTACTTCCGCTAAGCATACTAAGGTTTTTTCATCTGTAGAAACAAAGTTTGATTTTAGAGATACTAACAAATTTACTGTTTCTTTGGCAAAAAAAATTTAATTAAAAGGAAATTCATATCTGTGGTGGTGGTTAAATGATGGAATAATGCCAGTGTAAATTTAAGATCTCGTGGTACATTTCTGTAGTTTAAAAGGATGGTTTTGGAGATATTTCTTTAGGGTTGCAAGAGTTTATAAGTTCTGTTGTAAATCTACTACCACTTATCACTAAATTGTGTATATTTCCCTTCTTTTTCTTTTCTATTTTTTGCTTAAATTGTACAAATTTTATGTGTTGATGGGTAGATTAATTTTTTTAATTAGTTAAAAAGGGCAGGCATAAATACAGGCATTCTGATTTTGCCTTTAAATGTAATTTTGTATTGATTATATTATGTTTTGTTATATTTCTGACTGAATAAATCAAATCAATCAATCAAGTCTCTGCAGGGCTGTGCTCCAAGTTATCTGTCTGAGTTACTCACTCGATACAAAACATCCTGTGCACTTAGTTCATCACAACAAGACTAGTTGCTCTAAGAGTAAAATGCTTAAATCCAGGAGGCAGGGTTTCTCCGTTTTGGCCCCCAAGCTATGGAATGGTCTTCCACTCGCGGTCAGACAAGCTGGTTTTTAAGAGCCGGACGAAGACTCACTTTTATACGGTGGTGTTCCCTCAGCACGTGGGCTAGCCATTTTTTTTAGATAATTTAGCTCATTTTTATCCAGTTCTATTTTACTTACTTTATATTTTTCTTTTACTGGCATTCTTTGCTCTTATCATCTGATTTATTTGTTTCTATGTCTGTTTTTGTCAGACATTATATGGATGAGATGTGTTTGTACAGCACTTTGGTTCACCTCCTGGCAGTTGGAAAGTGCTATATGAATAAAGATGACGATGATGATATTTGCATTTATATTTTTATATTTCTGCACCTTAAATTGGCTGAATGTGCAAAAGATGTGTGCATGTGTGTGTGTGTGTCTGAGCGAGAGAGAGAGAGAGAGAGAGAATGTGCGTGACATCTATTTTAGCCTTATTTTATTTTACTACCTCTTACATGAGCCATCTTTAGTAAGCACAAGTCAATTTTGTTGTACATCGGTGCAATGACAATAAAATGATCTTGAATCTAATCCATCTATCCATCCCTCCATTCATCAACATCCATCTATCCATTTATCTATCCACCTGTTTGATAATCCATCCTTCCATCCGGAAAAAAACATGAACATGCAGCTCCTCGTAGACAGCAAAGACTAATCAAAACTTTGAAATGGTGCACCACGTGTCTGTATCAGGAGCAGCTTTATTTGTAAACCATTTTAAACACCCACAAGCCCAAAGGTATGTACACAAAATAATGAAACCACAAACTTTTCTTTTATACATAAATTACATTTTTTAAGTGTCTAATATGCTTAAATTAGTGCTTTTTGCTGATGACACTACTATTTTTTTGCCCAGCGGAGGATTTAAAATTACTACAAAAATGATAGATTCAGAAAAGACTCCATTAAAAAATGAGCAGGTTGAAATATGCTTTTAGACACTTGATTGAGATTGGACTCATTTCAGAACCTGGTGAAAACCAGAATGTTTGATTATTGCTTTTATTTATGAAACCCCACTCCTCATTGGGACTTACACCAGTGGTGTCTGGAGGCTCTCCGTTGGACTCGGCAGCTCTTAATCCTACGTGCGGCAGCTTTGTGAAGATAAACAGCATTCTTCATTATGGCTGGGAGCTTTGCCTCGATCTCGGCTGCACAGATGCACTCCTCAAAGAACTCTAAGGGAAGACACACCGGGAGGACATGGCGCTTGTTATGCACAAACAGATGAAGATCTGAGCAGATATTCCATTCTACGGGAGGAAACCCAAAGTTGAACCATAGACTGGATCAAACAGTTCTTTTCCACACAATGAGATGATGTAAGGATGTGAACTTGGTTTTACTCACTCCTCAGGTGTGTCACATCCCCTTTCATCTTCTCATCTCTCTCTTTGGTTCGTTCCACTGAGTTCAGACCTTTCTCCAGATCCTGCAATGCCTCCTCAGCCTGCTTCAGCCTCCGCTCCAGCTCCACCCGAGACTCTATCTCCGCCTTGTGACACCAGCATTCAGAAACACTAGATTATCTCTTTGAACAAATATAATAATTACACTTAATCCCAAAAATGTATGTATAGCCACATCTTGGTAATGAAGTATTTGTTAATAGTATTAATAATAATCACACGCTGATGAGGTAGTCTCTAAAAGTTCATCAATTGCAGATGCACACCCAGGGATTATTTTCTATCATAAAAATAAACAAATGCAGGCTGGATCCTGCTCTGTCACCTTGAGCTCGGCCTCGGTCTGCTGCTTGTCCACAGTGAGCTGTGAGAGTGACTGCTGCAGCGTCTGAGCCTGAGTGGAGTAGAATTCCCTCTCCTGCTGCAGACCTTTAGCCCGCTGCTCGTTCTCCTGGAGCCTAGAGAAAAGTAACAGTTTAAGATTAAATCACAACCAACACACGCCATAATTGTCATGATCCTGCCAGGTCCTGACCGCCATGCTACCACCTCATCAGCCTTCATGCATCACACCTGGTCTCCTCATCAAGCTCATGCAACATACCTGCCTCACCAGCTATATATTCCACAGTCAACCACCAGGACTCTGCCAGATTAGTGGACGCTCCTGCTGGTAGATCTTCCAGCCTTTTTCATCCTGCCTGATCATAGCCTCCCGACCTCGTTTTCACACCTGACCCTCGCCAAGAGCTCTGCCTGCCTCCACGATCCTCGCCTGTCTTTAACCACGTCTCTAGCCTGCTCCTTGTACCTGCTTCGTCTCTACCTGGTTCCGACCCGCGCCTGCCTTCTACTCTGCCTTTACCTGAGTTTTACTCCGGTAACACCTCCTCTTAGCTTCAGGCTAATAAAGACTGTTATCTTCACGGGTACTCACGTTCTGGTCATTACAATAATCCTGCAGTTTACAACCCTGAAATAACTCCAAAAATTAGGCTGTACAGAAGCAAAATGATATAAGTATATAGAAGAAAGAAGAAAGATGTCCCTGTTGTATTAATTTGAATGTATGTGAGGCTCTGCTTGTGTGAATGCTTATAAACTCAACAATGATAAACTGTAAGATCAACCCAAAGGCGCAATATGTAAGAAAGAAGTAAGAATGACATCATGTGGTCAAATTTGGGTACTGCAGTCATTTTTTTCTAAACAAAAAGTGACTTTCCTGCTACCATTCCATGAGTTTCGTGTCTATTGCCAGTTAGGATCAGCACCAGAAGGTTCTAGATGACGAGCGAAGACGAGTCATACACAGTGAGTTGATAGGTAGACAAATACATAGTTATATCTGGTGTTAGCTCTCTTGTGTGTTTTAAGGCAGTGAGCGCTTACTACACTTTTTACGGTAACATTTCTCCGGTATTGGAGGAAGTGTAGTTGCTAACCGTCTTGCAGTTAGCTTGCTGGTTGCTAACCAGCTGCCAACTGCTTCATTTCTGACAGCCAATCAGTAAGTTGTCTGCTGATGTTTTGCTTTGACTGCATGATCGGTTTCAGTGACCCATTTTAAAAATATTTTTCTGTGATGCTTGTCATGATTTTGCATTTTGCATAAGATTTATGTAGCATCAGCAGCTAAACTGTCCATCTGAGGACAGCTGAGAGGAAGAGGAGACAGCTCGTAAAGTAGAGTGCGTTGGACTGCATGTTTCAGCACTCGCGGCTGAACATTAGTGCAGCACAGTCAATACTAGCAGCCTGTAAAATCCCACTTACCATCAGTGAGCTGTTTTTTTAGATCAATACACATTTCCACTGTTACATCCTCTCCCCATTAACATGGAAGTTCCCCTGGACAGGTCATCATCCCATACAGTCACCAATATAATCCAACGTGCAGCAGGATCATGTAATCCTGTCACCATAAATAGAAATAGTTCCATAATAAATGTGCATGATCTCCTTTTTAAATGACACCCCTCACTTCTCTTCAGCCTGCTCTTTCTCCTTCAGTAGAATCTTCATCTGCTCCTCGATGTGTCGCAGGTCCTGCAGCAGGTCTGGGTCTTCCAGCTCCTCTTCATCCAAAGACGGCTGCAAACTGTCTGTGCCTACGTCCTCTTCCTTTTTCTTTTGTCCTTTCTCCCCCAGTAGTAGAAGCCTTCTCTGTTTAGCTTGGCAGAGCTCCTAAAAGCAAAGTTACACCATCTGGATTACACCTCATTTAATTAATCTAAATGATATTCTGGTAAAAGTTTGACTTATTATCGATTTGTCCTGAGTTGTAATAGTTCTATGGTCAACACCAAACATGTCCATGAAGTTCTTTCTGCTAAATCCCTCTCACATAAAGAGATTTCAGCAGTTTTATTCTTGACATATTCAACAGTTTCCAGAATGAGCCATTTCAGGACTCTGTCACTTTAAGGAAACAAGAGAAAGCTAGGCCACACGCACCCCTCCCCACTCAGGCTGCTATAAGATGTGAAGCTTAGATTTTCGGGAGGGGCTCAGAGTAGTGCAGCTGCTCTTCCAGCAGCATCTCTTTCTTGCACATGAGAGCCGGTTATTTTCTACTTTCCCTGTTTGTGACATCACAAACGAGGAGTTTTTGAAACGGCTTGTTTTCGGCTCCTAAACCTCAAAACTAAACAGAGACAAAAAAAAGGGATGAACAAGGTTTTTTTTTTGTTTTGTTTTGTTTAGAGTGTTTATAGATGCACTAGAGACCCACACGACAGCACAAAGTATGCAAAAGGTGAATATGTCCCCTTTAAAGCTTAAACTCATGACGGTATTTAGCTAAAAATACAGGAAAGTGGAACAACCAAACACACACAGGCTGAAGCTGATGAAGTGTTAGATGAGATTACCTGAAGTATAAGTATTAGATTGCTGCTTTTGTTTGATTTATTTATCATGTTTTAGATTATTTTTAACATTAAAATGAGATTTTTGTATCAGAAGAAATGTGAGCTTTTGGCTGAACTGGTCAGTTGCAAAGTGTTTAACTTTGATATAAATCATAATTAGAAACAAGGAGTTGTACTTTGTGATCAGTTATTTTGTGTTTTGCTTTAATGCACATATGTGCACTGTGGAAACATTTCTCAAATAAAAGTAGAGATGATAGAAGAGAAGCTTTAAAAATAATAAAAATGTGAATTGATAAAAAAGAATGGTGTGCATTTTGTCTGCAAACAGGAAGGGAACGCTTGTTTTGCCTGAATGTTTGTGTTTGTGCTTCTAGAGAAATATCTCATGAACCACATGATGCAATTAAAAATGAATTCTTGGATTTTCACCTTCAACCGATTCACTCTGGAGTCGGTCCTGTTCAGCGTTCTGAACAGAACTGGTTTTATTTGATCTAATCATATGTTTTATTCTTAAATACCTCGATGGATGTCTGCAGATTGACCGTTAAGCAGCTCAGCTCCTCCTTTTCGCGCGCAACACTTTTCAGTGACAGAGCGGTGCTGTCCATGTCTCTATAAACAGAAGACAAACAAAACCCATGAATTCTCCTGCAGCTTCCTCGGAGAGGCCGAATGAGAAATAAATGACTGTATACAGTTTGATCTGCTCCTGCTCCGCCTTCAGCTCCAGGACCACCTCCTCAAACTTCCTTTTCTCCTCCTCCAGAACCTGGTTCAGACGCTCCAGCTCCTGTAAAAACACACCCTTACTATAGGTGACAACTTTTAAACCAAAGCCTTAAGTACATCGGACTTCTCAGAAAAGAGTGAAAAAGGTTCACACCTCCCGCTGTGCTCTCTGATGACTCAGCTCCTCCGTCTCTTCCATCAGTTTATCTGGAGGACAACATTCTGCTCATATTTACCTTTTTAGTCATGTGATTTACTCAGGTGGCCTTCCTGTTGCATACCCAGGTATTCCTGTTTCTCCTTGGCCAGCTGCAGTCCCTGAGCCTCCAGACTCTCAATCATTGCTTCCCCGAGCTGAGCATTTTTCCAGGTTCTGTCAATTAGATGTAACAACTTAGAAAAATCCCAGAAAGACAATTAGACAAGAGCAAAATTTACACTTTAAAACCCAACTTTATTATTTGAAACAAGCTGTTTAACCGCTTCGCAGGAGAAGAAAGGTCAATCCTCACACTTTTCCTGAATCCTGGAGCATCTCCATCCACTGAACCTGCTCCTCCCCCGTCTCAGCAGCAAGGACAATGGTTCCCTGAGGGATGGACGTATGTCAGCATCCTTGGGTTCATGTTTACTGGTTCGCTTTGATACAGAGTCAAAACTCAGGACCCAAATCACTAAACAAGTGTACTTCTTTGCAAGTGCAAAGCAGAGTTGCTTTCAAACAGAGATATTCTCCTCCTAACAGAACAGACTCTCTATATCCTAGTGAAGTTTCCTCACTTTAAAATGATGGTTTTGTGCAGCATTTTAAGGAAAACTCACCCAAAAACCATCTGATTCAATTCGTTTACCATCTCCTGAGAACTTGTGGCGTTTGCACCTCAAGGGGAAAAAAAACAGGAGAAGAGGAGCAATCTGCTGTACTGTTGCCTTCACAAAAAGAGGGAAGGTGTGTCAGGAAAATGTGAACTCTGGTGGGAAGTGTTGGGAATACCTTGGTGTTCATGATGACAAACAATCACCTAATTACTTTTTCATGGTGCTTCGTGGTCTTGCAGAGCACGGTAAAATAAAATGGCCTTTTCTGGTTAATGAATGCTGCTTTAACTTCACACAGCCGCTCTCAACCGTCCCCCAAATGGACTAAATAATGGTGTGTTTTGACAGCATTAAACGTATTAATGTCCGTGGACGCGCTTCGGCGCTCATCGGTGATATCACTCACTGCCAAAGCAGTGGCAAATGTTGACGTCTTAGCACAGTCCTGAAAGGGCTGATGTTGCATTAGGACTCATCGGTTGAGAGGACTGAGCCATGGACGCTCCAGGTCACCTTTCTCCCTCCCAGAGATTTCTCGGAACACCTATAGTGGAAACATGGCTAATGGCCGTTGTAGAGCAACTTGTGGATAACTCTAGTGCGAGACTGGTGCAAAAGTCCACTTATTTCAGTAATCCATCTTAGACTGAGAGACCAACTAAAGCAGGGGTCCTCAATTAAAATGGTCCGAGGGCCACTCAAAAGAAAGACCCAGAAGCAAGAGGTCCAGACCGAGGTTTGGATCGCTGGCCGCTCATGGCCCGCGGGCCGCCTACTGAGGACCACTGATCTAAAGGCTCAGGAACCCCATTTAAGACCTGAAGTTCTCTGTGAGAAATGTTTTGTATCTGCTGTGTTTGTGATGCCAGTGGAACCAGATGCAAAATAAGTGCAAATTATTCAACCTGCTGAACCTGAAGAGGACGTCTCCACCAGCATCGACGGGGATAAAGGGATCATGTGCAGACAGCAGGCACAGCAGTCCCTTACTGTTTCTGGGCTTCCAAGACTCATTTCCTAATTATCTTATTGTTTTTGACTGTTGGGGACAGTTAGGGAATTATTTAATACCGTCATTGTTTAATTGCAACCATATTATATCAAATGTTTCATTATCTTTCATGTTAATAAATATCTGGATCAAATTTGCATTGTCTGATCACTTTTTAAGCTCAAATTTGTGTCTAACTTCACCACCCTGTGTTACAAAGCTGGCTGGTGTTGAGCAGGAAGAACTCAGTAGCTCTGGAAAAGCCTCTCGCAGAAATGAAGAGACAAGTAGCAGGTTTAAAGAGAGAAGATCACTTCTACAGGAATGGAGCTGTGTGCAGCAGGACGGCGCTCTTACTGTGAAATCTTCCAGGTTGACCACGATGGCAAAGGGCATCCCCATGTCCTCGTTGGCCGACACCACACACCCTCCCAGAGGGATGACGCCCTGAGACGGAAACAAATCCTTTAGACTTTGTGCTTCAACATAATCCCATTCATTAAAAAATAAAAGCATCCAATGTTTGCTCACCTTCGGGTGGATGTTGAAGTACCTGTTGGACTCGAAGCTTTTCTTCTCACTCTCTGCATAGTAGAGCAAGAAGCTGTCTTTGATGACGAAGAATCTTTGTGCCGATGAAGACAGTGAAATCAGCTGTGAGCGACGCTGTCCGACAACCAAACGTTTTATCTAAAACATTTCTACACTCCTCTACAGATCATCCAAGAAAATAAAGAGCATTAACCCAATTTAAATCGTGTTGTATCTGCATAACAACAAACAACTCCAGAAGTCATCAGGTGGGAGGTGAGGGACACCCTGGACAGGTCTCCAGTCAATCACAGGGACAAACAAACCAACCTAGTGATAATTCAGTCTCCAAGGACCCTGACGTATGTTTTTGGTACTTGAGAGAAAACCCACACATGCTAACGCCACACAGAAAGGCTGCAGCTGGGATTCAAACCTGCAACCTTCTCACTGTGAGGCAGCTGTGCTATCAACTGTTCCACCATGCACGATTCATTTTCTTCAGATTAAACCATTTTTTTCTGTTTTTATTGTCATGCTGCTTCCAAACAAAGCTTAAAACTTTATCTTCTTCATAAGCAGCAGTCCAGAGTCTGCCCTCATCCTGGGGTTATTAGGAAGTCAAAAAAAAAACACGACTCATGAGCCGTACAGACATTTCCTGCAGATATGTATCTCCATCTTAAAGCATCTTACTAGAGCAGTTTATTTATTCCTTTATAAACAAAGGGAACACCAGAAGCAGACCACTCTGGTTTTTGAGCGTCAGTTTTCAGAGATGCAGCATAAAAAAATACATAAATCTTAGAGATTGTGTCTTTTCCTTACGCTAACAGTTTAACTTTAAACCCAAAGCGAATCAGTAACATTAATAATAATAACTTGATGTGCACATGGATACTGTTATTAACAGGTTATCACAACAGAACATATTAAACAAGAACACCGGTGAAGTCTGAGCTGCTTAAATAAGAGCTAAAGCGAGAGTAGACCCAGGTCAGAGGTCACTACTCATCCTCACCTGCGGGACCACTTGGCCGACGGCCGTCCGAAGGGTCTCTTCCACAGGACGCCGTGCAGCTGCACTTTGGTGCTGATGTCCAACACGTCAGAGTCCGTCTGCTCCATGGACGACCACGGGGACAACAGGGAGTTTCTGGATGAAGAGGAGAACATCCTGCCCAGAATTCCCTCACTCTAGGAGGTGGGGTCAAATATGAAAAAAAAAAAAAATTAAAGTACAGTAAGTCAATAACAATTAGGGGTGGCACACACACAAGGCTGCTGCAGGCAACGCTTCAGTGACATGCAGGAAAAGTAGAAAACAAATCCCGATAACTCAGCAGGCTGGAATGATGCAGCTGCCAATACGCTCCTCATCTGGAGGCAGACTGACTGGACAGGGGAGATGAAAACAGGGGGGGGGGGGTTGGGGGGGCTTTAGCAATGAGTTACTAAATCTGAAGCCGGTCGATAGAGTCCAGCCAGTAAAAGCTGTGGATTACTGCACTCTGCATCATCCCTCCATTTGTTGCTCCAGAGGTGAATTAAGCAGAGCCTCTGCAGTAAAGGCTGCAGAACGTTCTAGTAGAGAGTCAGGCCAGTGGCCGTGTCGCTTCCACGTCAGATTAAATTACAGGACATGTGTCGGAGTGGACATGCTAAACAGATGTGCTGTGATCACTCAGACCTTCTGACACGCAGCAGCCTGCAGGGAGTCTCACATAGTGATGGCTGCTATCGATCAGCTGGTATAGGCTCATTTAGACTAATGTGTGGTGAACAGTAACTCTTGTTAGGAGGCAGATTTTATTAAAATAACTTCTAGTTTAAATATTATAAAACTACTTTTCACAAACAAGTCCCTTCAAAAGATCTAATTTAACTCTGTGTGGAACAAAAAGTTTAAAGAATATGAATCTTGATCATTTTGAAATTGAAATATAATTTTTTCTTATATTTCAGAATATTATCTGAATTTATGTGCAGGATTATTTGTCCATGTATTTTTGGAAATAAATGTTATTTATTCGTGTGATTTTTTATTTATTTCACTAACCTGCTTCAGTGTGATTGTTAGCTATTCCTTTTCATTTATGGTTTTGATTCTTGATCCATTTACAAAACTTCATCTTTTATGAACATTAAACTCAGAGGCTAGTTTTATTTGAATAAAAACAAAAACATTTGTTAATCCAATCAAATGCTTTAGGCTGTTTAGTGCATTTTTTATGTTGGACATGTAAATGCATTAGTTTATGGTCTCTTTTGTCTATTAATGTTATGATCATCTTTAAGAGCATCAGATATGGTTAAATAAAGCTTATGGTTTAAGTGCTAATTATTGTTAACAGGCTGAACATCAGTGAGGATTCTTATGAACGACACATAAGGCTGCTCTTAAAAATAAACCACCTGATCTAGAGTCCCCTCAAAACGAGGCATGTATTTTCTAGCCTAAAACAACCAGTATTTCTTCTTAAATGTGAAAAAAAATACAGTTTTAAACCAGTTAAACATCTGTTTGCAGCTTTGATCCTGTCCTGCAAAAATTTGAGAAAAATCCAGTTAAAATGTATTTTTGTTGTGAGGAAGTAACCTGGCAGCAGCCAGATCTGTGTGTAGCTCCACCCCGAGTCGAGTCTACATGATCTCTCACGGTTCTCCTGAGTTTGGAAAACTCTAAATCTCGCAAGAATTCATCTTGCAGGGCAAGGTTAGGAGGAAGTGTTTGTATTGGGCCATTCCCATCTGTACCTGGTCGGCCCGGGTCGGGTAGCGTAGGTTGTTTACATATCTGGGTAGCCTGGCATTTTCCCGGGCCAACCAAGGATCATTCTCAGCCCTCTTCTCGAGGGGGTCTGCTTCAGACCGAACCAGGGCCAACACACCCACTGCTGACAGCAAATTCACACCTTCCATTAGAGCAAGCCTCTGATAGGTGGGTAGAATCAGCCCACATGGGCTTAAGGCAAGGATGTGTGGAATCAACCGGGCCAGGCTGGGGCCGACTGGAGCTACCCGGCCCGGGCCGACCCGGTACAGATGGGAATGGCCCTTATGATGCAAGCATGAGGTCAGATGAGAGCAGATTCACGCGTGTCCTAATGGTGCAGCCCCTTTTCTGAGACATCTCTGGATCACCCATGTCCACTTCATACTGTTGTACAAGTTATTTCACACCAGTTTTGTTTTTATTATTGCTGTTTTGATCAGTCAGAGTGGGATTGTTTAGAAAATCAGAACGACGGTGGTCTTCCCATTTAGTTTTATGTTTGTTCTCCTGAGCTGATGGTCCCTAACAGTTTCCACTCTCGCCTCTAGGAGGCAGAGCCACGCTGCACTGCTGAAACAAACCCCCACCTCTACAAACCTCAATCACTTATGTACAGATTGTTCTCATGAGTTCATTTACAGTAACTTTACAGGAAAGAAAGGACAGAGATAACATCCCACCATGAAACCAGGAAAAGAAAAGTGACTGATTAACTGACGGAGGCGGGCTCTGGTTTTTACAGCTATTTCAAGACTTAGATGGAACGAACTCCAGCTGGTTGGTCCAAGGCCGTCCTGTCCCCTTCCATCTCTCACTTCTTCATATGGCACTTTGAAGTCACTTAGAGAAATTTACACGACAATAAAAAAATCTGAACTTGACTGCTTCTGCACATACAAACCTGACCATGACTAAAGCTCACTGTGCAACTGCCACCTAGTGAACTAAAACCAGCGCTGCACCAGGTGTGAGAAAGCAACAGTCTGCTTTGATCTACATGGACTGAATGAAAAAGCTCCATCTCTTACAAAAGGATTCAGATGGAGTAAACGCACACGCAGGTATATCATGTCAAAACATCACGTTGTCTCATGGTTGTCACAGCTCAGTTCCCACCAACGCCACTCATCAAGTCTCATGATGTCTCTGAGAAGATCCATCTGGTCCACTAGCAGACAAATAATCAACATTAAAAACTGCAGCGTTTCACGTCTCTGCATCAGCTTTTTTCCTGTACACCCGTCTTTAAGACTCTTCTTCTGTGGTTTTAATGATGGTGACCGATAGACAGCACCAGGGGAATGAGGCAGCCCAGAACCAGAGACCCCACTTCCACCTTGCTCAGCCCCATCCCTCCATTCCCTCCAGAAGAAGCGTGGCTGTGGCCCATCCCCCCCACCTCAGGGAGAACATGGACCGTGGCCACATAGAGGAAGGTGCCGGCGGAGAAAAGCATGGCGACACCGGTGGCGTTGACGTTGGACAGGGCCTCTTTGCTACTCTGGAATGGAAGACGGACAGAAACGGAGTGAAGATGAACAACAGGCAGGAAAACCTTGGCTGAAAAAGTCTGATTCATTTAATTAAGACTTACTTGAACAAATCAAAGTTCATATCACATCTTAGCTTTATAGTGATCTTTAAAATCAAGCAGAATTAAGAGGTGGTTTTAGGCTACAGCTCTCACCTGACTGAGACCTAAAAACGTGATCATGGAGAGGACAGGAGCAGCTAAGGCGAAGATGAGGAGGTGTTTGCGAATGCGGTTCCTCTCAAGACCGGCGTGCATCAGGAACGATACCAGACCGAACGCTGCTGGGGCCTGCAGATAGATCAGCAAGCGTTGACCGTCTGTTCATCCGAGCTGCTGATTCTGATAAATAAGTGGACACTTATAGCCGTGTAACTATACAGCACCAAGTCATTCTTACCTTATGCAGCATAATGGCTACAAACACGATGAGCTGAACGCTGGTTTGAGACGTGGAGGCAGCAGCTCCCAGAGCCACTCCATCAGCTGGAAATCAAATCATTTCATCATAAAAAAGTTTACGTGTTAATGTATACACTCACTGGCCACTTTACTGGGTACACCTGTACAACTGCTCGTTAATACAAATTACTGTCAGCCAATCACATGGTGTCAACTCACTGCATTTACCCCAAAATTCCACTATCTCCGCTCCGGCACGAACTCCGCAGCAAAAACGGTCCCGTTGTAGTCAATCGGAGCTGTTCCACTACTGCGGCCGCCGTTCCGCCATCCGGCAAAAATAGGATCGATTCCATTTTTGCCAGACGTCGGAGCACCTCCGCAGTCAATGGACAGGAATCACAACCGCCCAACAGGAAAGGGAGCAAGCACAGCTTCCGTTATTTCACAATAAATCGATAAACAAAAAGTGTTTTTGTTTCATATGCACAGGTTTAACAACTTTTAACAACTATCAATGGCGGTTGAACTTTAAATGCACAAAAGTAAGCCATAAATACAGTTTCCACTATCAAAGTAGTCACACTTTGTTGATCCAAACACTGCTGATCTCTCAACACAAATGATGGGCAGATTAAACAGTTCATTTCGATGCTTCTCCCACACAACGGGTGTTTGGATCTAACTTCCGCGTTTATTGCTCGGACTGTATCGCAAGATCTCGAAAATCCTGTGCATGCCTGTTTGCGCACCTCAGGTCTCCGCACCGGAGCGGAGCCGTTGTAGAGCGGGTACCAGTATAATTTGAGTTCGGAGGCCAGCGGCAGCGGAAAGCGGGGGCAGGGCGGAGATAGTGGAATTTTGGGGTTAGGCATGGTCAAAACGATCCGCTGCAGCTCAAACCGAGCTTCAGAACGGAGAAGAAAGGTGGTTTAAGTGACTTTGAATGTGGCATGGTTGTTGGTGCCAGACGGGCTGGTCTGAGTATTTCAGAAACTGCTGATCTTCTGCGACTGTCACACACAACCATCTCTTGGGTTTACAGTGAATGGTGGGGAAAAGGGAAAACATCCAGTGAGCGGCAGTTCTGCGGGCGAAAATGCCTTGTTGATTTAAGAGGTCAGAGGAGAATGGCCACTAATCGATCATCGTTGCAACGCCACAGCCGACCCGAGTATTGTTATGACCAGAGTGTGGCCATCTTCCGATACTTCCAGCAGGACAATGCACCATGTCATAGAGCTCCAATCATCTCAGACTGGTTTCTTGAATATGACAATGAGTTCACTCTACTCAAATGTAGGGATGCACAATATATCAGCATCAGTATCGGCCGATATTCGCCACTTTTTAACATATCAGTATCGGTCCGATAAATAAAACTGGCCCAATATTAACAACCAATATTTTTCCATCTTGTTTCCATTTGTTTATGTGTCCGAGGGTGAGGGGGTGATGCGTATTTGTTTAGTCATGTGACAGTAATTGTAATCATCTCAGATGCATAAATGTGTGTGGTGTGTGTACATAACACAAATTCAGCTTTAATATTATTCATTCTATATAAAATCTGCTGATTTTAGAAGCATTAATGTCAGTTTATCAGTATCAGCAAATATTGGTTATCGGCCATAACAGTGATATTAACAGCTGTATCGGCCCAAAAATGTCATATCGGTGCATCACTACTCAAATAGCCTCCATAGAGCTCCGGGAGTTGACGTCACTTCTCCCGGCATGCAACAGTTCAAATCGAAACGGCGCCATATTGGCATGCAGAAGCCGGCAGCTGGACTATTTGTTCTTGTCAGAAAACTCAAACGGGAAATATGGTAGATTCCTGTTGTGCCCCAGGATGCAGAACAGACGCGGACGACATAAGGAATGAGCCATCTACAGGATTCCCCAAGATCCGGAGCGCCGCAAACGTTGGATCATTGTAATAAAACGCACTAGTGACCGGGCTGAAATGAAACTGTGGGACCCCGAGAGTAAAGGTTTTCTCTTATGCAGCGACCGCTTCATATCAGGTACTTAAACCAACGTTTCCTCAACTGTGTATGGTATTTATTTAATTACTTTTATTATGATTCTTAGTGGGCTTCCTAAACTTATTTTGGCGTGGCTTTTTCTGTCTTATTACTCATAGCAACAAGTAAACGTCACGTAAAACGTTGCCTCGTGAGTTCTGCGTGCTGCCGTTTACGTGTTTTATGATGACAGCAATTAACCGGCTAAGCTGTATTTAATTTTGAAGCAATGGTTGATCAATTGTCAGATCACACATAAAAAGCACTTTGGATTGCTATTATCTGTGTCACCGAGACTACTTACGTGTAAATCTGTTATTTGTCCGTCCATCCATCCATGTTCATCCGCGTATCTGGAATCGGGTTGCGGGGGCAGTAGCGTGACTTCCCTCTCCCCAGCCGCCAGAGCCAGCTCCTCCGGGTAAATCCCAAGGGGTTCCCCGGCCAGGTCCGGTGTTGTGCCGGTAAGAAGCCCGCTCCGACAGCTTCTGGCGTTTTTAAAAAGTATCCCAGGGGCACGGTAAGGGTCGGAGATGTTCAGTCTATTTAATTTCTGACTATATAAAACGATTTCTTCTGTTTTAAAGTGTGAAGTAAACTCCGACGAAGTAAAATCCAAGCGGATCCCGTTCATGTTCATGGTTACATCCGTGTTTGTTTACCTTTTTTGCATGCCAAAATGGCGTCCACTAACTGAGAGTCACGTGGGGTCCGGAGCTCTATAGTTACCAGATCTCAATCCAATCGAGAACCTTTGGGATGTGGTGGAATGGGAGACTCATCATGGATGTGCAGCTGACAAATCTACAGCACCTGCGTGCTGCTTTCATGTCAATATGGACCAGCATCTCTGAGGAATGTCTCCAGTACCTTGCTGAATCTTTGCCATGAAGGATTAAGGCAGTTCTGAAGGCAAAAGGGCATCCAACCCATATTAGCAAAGTGTACCCAATAAAGTGGTCAGTGAGTGTCGTTTTTCTAAGCCAATTTGTTTCCAGAAGCCGGTGCCTGTTGAGGGTCTGACTTACCAGCAGCATGGACCACCAGACCCAGAGTGGTGGTGATCTTTGAGCTGGCGACTCTCGCCGACTCGGGATCTAAATGAGATGAAGATGATGTCAAGAGTTCTGCATTAAAATCAGAGGTGAAACACAAACTGACTGATGTAAATGTTAAAGCTGCATCTCTGCTGTATCTGTGACATCTGATGAACAGAAAAACACCAGCACTGAAAAACCTGCGTTGAATAAATGTATCAATTATGATAAAATAAAAACATTAAGAAAAATATTCTTTGCTTTAAAATAAATCGTTGTTATAGTCGTTTTTTTCTTCAAAAATGCATTTACACGGATATTTTTATGACATTTTCTGGTTCAATTTGCCTTCGCTGTTCAGGTGGCAGTAGGTGGGATTGGGGGCGGAGCTACAGAGAGCCTAAGGCAGGACTATTCAATTCTGGGCCTCGAGAGCCGGTATCAAGCACGTTTTAGTGGTTTCTCTGCTCCAACGCACTAGATTCAGTGGTTGAATCACCTGTGCAGCAGCTCATCAGGCTCTGCAGAAGCCTGTTAATCACCTACTGATTGAAATCAGGTGAGCTGCAGCGGGTTAAAACCAAAACGTGCTGGATACCGGCCCTCGAGATCCAGAAATGTGGAACTCACTGCCTGTTACAGTTAGGCAGTCTCGTGTAAAGACCCACTTTTATGTCTTGGCTTTCAGACTCATTTTATCGTTTTACTGATTTTATTGTTGTGTTTTATCTACTGTTCCTATTGTTTGTATCCGTTATTGGTGCCTTGTTTAGATTCTTATTGCTTTTGCCTTTTTTGTTTTATTTGATCGTGCCTGTTCAGCACTTTGGTCAGCTCTCACCTGTATTTTAAATTGTGCTAGAGACATAAAGTTGGTATGGTATGCTATGGAACTGAATAGCCCTGGCCTAAGGAAATGACTGTTGTACTTTATCATTAGGACTCTTCCTGGCCTGTCACGGTGATCAGGTTAAAATACCTAATTCATCATTAATGGACGAGTATCTGGTTTCTGTAGCTTATTTCTAGTGATAATGGTTAAATTACTGCCGCTTTTACCACGGCTCATTTCTAGCAGCCGATTGGATATTTGGACTCAACTCAAAAGCTCAAACTGCCTTTTAGTTCAAATGTTTGTCTTCAGTATCTGTAGCCTTGAAACGAATACACTTTAAACACTTCCCTGCTCCTCCTCAGGAACACACCGGCTAATATTGTTTCCCTTGTAGTTTTTCAATCGACGTTTTTGATCATCAGCTTTTTTACTTTTATTGCCCTTACATATTTTACCCTTAATTCAAGTTTTATTTTTTATTCCAACTTTTATCTTCATAAAAGAAAGTTTGGTTTTCTCTGGGTTTTCGGCTGAAACGTCCTGCTAACAGGTGGGTCTCCAACTCATTTGAACTTATTTTGGTTTTCCTAGACTCGCTCAACCCAAAAATAAAAGCTGCCTCCACATCTCGTCTTTTTTATTTTGTTACAAATCTGACCTTCAGTGTTGTGAACATGAGAACTGCCGATCTGGTCCACCAGCAGCATAAAAACAAAACCGAGGACCAAAGAGACACCGATGTAAGCATGGAGCTCCTCGTGGCCGTGCTCGTGTTTCCCGGTCGCGTCGAGAACCGATTCAGCTTCCACTTTTGACTCAGAGGCTTCCACAACTCCAGCCTGAACGTGACTGTGGTGTCCTAAAATAACCAGGAGAAAAATACACATCGAGAGGAGCAACAGATGAAAATACATAAACAATGAGACAAAATTATCCAGATGTGTGTGGATGCTTAGAACAAAAGCCTAAATAAAAGATCTGCTTCAGACAGTCCAACACCACCAGTCTAATGGGATTCAAAAGGTTTAACGCAGAACTGTTTAGCTTCAACTCAGTAGAAAAAACAACTAAATCTATATATCAAAAAGGGAAGCCTGACTGTGTAATTAGAACATTTACATCACAACACGCCCTATAGGTTAAATAAATAAATAAATAAAAAATTGTAAGTCGCTTTGGGTAAAAGCGTCGGCTAAGCACATAAACAACATAAACAACATAAACATCCAAAAATGGATTAAGAATTACGAATAAAAAATAAATTAATAAATAATTTCCTCTAATAGATCTCTTCTCTATAATATAACCCAGATTTAGCCTCCATAAATATTATTTTAGAGCAACAAAGGGTACAGCAAACCAACCCCAAACCCGTTTACCTGGTGTAAAAGCAACAAACCACACCTTAAAGCAGCTGATCCAATACAAATATGAGAGGGTTCCAAGAACAATACGTATAAATATCATTTTACAGGCAACAGGCTGTCAAATGTTCCAACGGAAAGACTCAGGAACCAAACGGTTTGAGCCAAACACACAGCCCGTTGCAGCCTAAAAATGGGTCTAACCACAGTGAAAGTATTTTTGAAACTTTCTCCCAACTTACACAAAACAGTGATTTCTGTTTACATTTGTGTAGAAGGTTAAGTACGCCCCCCATTGCATCAGCAGTCCGTTTCCTCCTCAAACAGCGGCTGTTTGGGCAGAAACCAGCGGATATGCAAGTCTTCTACACAGAATCAATATTACTTTCAGGTTTTCCCTCAGAAAATGAGTTAAGCCTGGCGGATTTGGCCGTCGGGGGGGCAGTGGGGGGTTCGCTCGCTCCGTCCCACAGCGCTCCTCCGTGAGAGCGGGGGTGGAGGGGTTGCACACGTTCTGCTCGTTCTGCTGCCACCAGTATCAGCTGATGGAGGGCTCTAGTTTTGTTGCGCCGTTCTCATCACTGGACACGGTAGGGTCAGGGAGGGGGGCGGGGCATAAAGCTTAGCCTGGCGGGTGCCCAAGCAAAGCCTGGTGGGCCGCCAGGCTTATAAAGCGCTGGGGGAAACCCTGACTTTTTTCATCAGCTGTTTGATTTTAAACAATGGAACTTGTTATTTTCTGATAACAAAAATCTAAGTAAACATTCACACATTAAAGACAAAGTCACCCCCTACCAGAGTCTTACTCTACCCACAACCTCCTTTTTGAAAAATGCGCCAAAAGGAGGGATTGTTTTTAATTCTCTAATTAAAAGGAGAAAAAGTTTTAAATTATTTTTGTTTGTGTTACAAAATGCAAACACGTGGCTGTCCCACATGGCTGTTGCACATCTTCTGGGCTGCAAAGAGTAACATTTACCAAGATCTGACCACAATGCCATGCAGCTACATGTTTAGAGTATGTCAAGTGTACACTAAGGAATAAACATACCTACTTTGGTCTTTTTTTCTAAGTCCTTTCAACTTGTCCTTGTTTGAGATGTTCCCAGGTTCAGGGTCAGCACTACCAGATCTTTGTAAACAAAGATCCTGAGCAGTGACCTCGGGCAGAAGTTGCACGTTTAGATAAGTTTAATCAAAGAAATGGCTTTAACGATAGTTCTGAGCTCTTGAAGTGTGCTTCAGTGGAAAGGTTATGAATAACTAAAACACTACTGAAGTCAGCTCTGTGAACAACTACAGTTAGGAGAAATGGAGATCAAGTCTGAGTGGGGTCTGTTAGTGTTTCTGTTGCCTTACAACAACAGTCACAGAAATCTCATGCAAATGTTGCTTTATAAAAGTTTACACCATCAAATTATTTACATCGACTTCTGTGTAGTAATGGTAGCACATCTGGATGCAATTATCTTGCCAGGAAATTTATAAAATGTGAAATGTATGTCAGTTTTAATGACATAAAGTAGTATTTGTTTAAACAGCTACATAATTTCAGGACTAGATTTGGTTTGAGACGCTGTAAAAGGAATCATCATGTTTAGATAGCCTTTTCTGTTGGACCAGAGCTAATCCATTTATGCAAACTGAATTAATCTGAAAAAACAACAAACAACAGATGTTAACGAGTCCACAAAAACCACTTCAAAATATATGAACCATCACGTCAAATCCTTTGTGTTTTTACTCCACTTTTTAACTGAGGCTTTGACCTACACACTAGCAAAACTTAAGGCAGTTAAATGGGTTGGAGTAAAAAAAAAAATCATTAAGCTCAAAACTCAGATGTTAAAGGCGCAATACGTAAGAATGAAGAATGACATCTTGTGGTCAAATTTGGGTACTGCGGTCAATTTTCTCTAAACAAAATGTGACATTCTCACTGCCGCTCTGAGTTTCATGGCTGTTGCCACTTACTGATCAGCACCAGAAGATTCTAGATGACAAGCGAAGGCGAGTCATACACGGTAAACTGATATGTGCTAAAACTCTTGAGTGTTTTATGGTAGGGAGCGCGTACAACACTTATTATGGTAGCAAGCCTCTAGCATCAGTTGCTCACAGTATTGCCTCACAGTTCTGAATGACTGAATGGAAGTAAAATGCCACAATTGACTCATCACTTCACACAGACATACATTTCACTGTAATATCGGTGCACTGTTTCCAAAGGAGATAATGAAGTGTTGAAGCTTATTTAGTTCTAGCAATTGTATCCATTCAGTTTCTGCCAAGATATCTCAAGAATGAGCAGTTTTCTTAGTCTATTTAATTAGATGTGTAATTTTATTGTTTATAAATGAATGAACTTAGATTTGATTGGATTAACAAAGTGGCTGCCTTAATATAAATAAGTTAAATGAGCAGGTATTTTTATTCTCTAGTATTTAATTGTAATAAAAATCAGTCAGAATCCAAAAACTTCTAACGTGTTAGATGTGTCTAAAGGAGGTTCTGTAATGAATGTAGGAAGGCAGAATAAGTGGGAATAAGAACTTTTCTGAGTGACTTACCTTCTAGGATTTCTTCATAAAGTGCGTGGACTCCTTCAGGAATAATTACAGCGAGTGCAGTCCCACAAAGCAGACCTGCTCCCAGCACAGTGACCAACTTCAATCTCTCCTAAATAAAGCCACAAACAAAAGCTTCAACACAAAACACCGACAGCATCATCAGATTTTCTCAAACTGAACTAGGAAGTAGGCTGGAGTTAGCTTGTTCTAACTTACCTCGGAGAAGTTGAAGGCTAAAGGTATTGTCCCGGCCACATAACACCCCACCAACATCGCAAGAGACAGCAGGCTAATCGAACTAAAATCATCCATAACTGTGGCTGTAACTACAACTGCTACACCTGAAGCATCAAACCCAAACTCCACCTACACTTTTCACTGATCTGGAGACCGCTGGGATAACCACCATGCCCTAAAAACACTGAAGTCTGGCAATTATTTAACAGACGTCACGACTCACGACCCTCCTCCTGGACCAGTTCGGTCTGCTTCCAAACATCCACGTTAACTGAAAACGCTGCAGCTTTTGGCCTCGATAGCACCGTTAAGCTAACTAGCTTCCGTATTTATCCGCCTCTCGGTCTTTATTCAACAATAACACACCCGTTTAACATATAAACAGCATTTATTAAACTATACACGGCGGATTGGAACGATTTAACTGTGGAAAAAAAATATTGCAACCCCCGACTTCGGTACAAGCTACCAAGAAAGCTAACGCAACCTTCTCTTGTTTGGTTTTTGACATAAGTTCCGGGTCAGAGGTCATCTAATTAGCGCGCCACGTAAGTACGTAGGCTATTGGCGGAAGCTGGACTGCCCTCCCATCAACTTTTTACTGATGGAAAAAAAGCGAAAATAAAACTGAGGTTGATCTTGGAAAACAAAATAAATTATAATAATAGATATAATTTCATGTAAAAGTGTTACATTTTATTTGACGTTGTCCCTCTACTTTGTGTGAAACAGTAAATGAAAATAATTACTCTATTAATCCATCAGATTTTTAAATAACAATTTTTTTCTAACTTCTCCAACTGATTATTTTTTAGTCTGTTCACAAGTGTGGAGTTTTAATATTTGAGATAGTTTGAGACAACAGCATAATAGTTAGCGCCATCAGATAAACGTCTCCACACAAATCACATATTTTCTTACTGCCTTGACAGCTTATCAGAAACAAAGCCTTAGAAACAAGGTCGAAGGTCAGAATGACACGTCTCTAAACCTTACACAGAGGTGTCACTGTTCTATAGCATAGCGTAAACAAAAGTATTTCACTACAAGTTTTTTTAAGCACGTTTATTGGCTCATACCAGAGATGTGCTTCCAAAATCAAAGCAGAATGTCCAATGTTCCAACAACTTGGGTGAAATGTCTTTTATATAATCAATTAGCATAAAACGTCTTTAAACAGGGATGTTACATAAAATCAGTGATACAAAGTAAACATTTGCAGCAAGGAATTCCAGCCAATGGCTAATTTGCAGCTCTATTCTCTGGTCCTTTCTGCAACAGTCAACAAAATGGGAGAAATACAGCTTGTCTTACCATGCAAAACATTTTTGCAAACCCCTTTGTTCACAACTCAGATCTTTTCATTAACACACACAAATGCACACGCACACAGTAGCAGCCCCTTGCAGACAGAATAGAGGGGGGTGTGGGCACATGTTTAGTCTGTGGATCCTGAAAGGTCAATCTAGTTGAACAGAAAGCTTTATGGTCTTTATTTTGCCAAACCAATCTTTTTGGCTTCTGTTTCATATATCAGTAACCTCCACATTTTAACTATGAAGACTTCGGCTTCTTCATCAAGGACCTGAAACACAAACAGATCAGTTAAAGCTAAAGCCGTCAGCAGATCAGTGCTGTCAGCTGTGTGATACCAGTTTTATTAAGCACCAAATTATATTATGATTAGCTGTTCTTCAGGAATCCAATGTGTGAAGTGTAAATAATCACATTTAGTTTAATTTGGAAGGATTGCTGTAAATGCCACACCCCAAAAAGCTATTTAAAGCTACAATGGCAAATCTGCTAAACAAGCTAGCTTAAAACATTTTTTCATGCCACTGAACAAAATTCTAACATTGTATAGCTATACATTTTTGTGGAGATTAAGTGGTTCTCTTGCATTTTTCTTAAAACCGGTTCTAAACCAACGATTGGACCTTCCGGGTGTTGGTCTCTCCAAACCACCGCACTTCTGCATTAAAATGGGTCCTCCAAAACAAACAAAACGATGTTTGGACCTAGAAAACAGCGACTGGTGTTTAGCGCTCTCTCGTTTACTGCAGCAATGCAAGTTCTACACTGAACAAAAATATAAACGTAACACTTGTTTTTACTCCCATTTTTCATGAGCTGAATTCAAATATCTGAAAATTTGTCTACATACACAAAACACCCATGATTCTCAATTATTGTTCTGAAATCCGTCTATGTGTGTGTTCTTAAGTACTTTTCCTTTATCAAGATGATCCATTCCACCTCACAGGTGTGGCATATCAAGGGGCTGATTAGTAGCCTGGCCTGCCAGACTCCTCTGTTTAATTCTGCACAGAGAAAGGATCTGGGAACTCTCCTATTCAAATTCACAGATGAGTCCTGTTTTTCACTGTTTACGGCAGATGGGAGACAGAGTGTGTGGTGTTGTGTGGGTGAGCGGTTTGCTGATGTCAACGTTGTGGAACGAGTGGCTCATGGTGGTGGTGGGGTACTAGTATGGGCAGGCGTATGTTATGAACTATGAACACAGGTGCATTTTATTGATGGCATTTTGAATGCTGGGTTCCTCTTCAATTGATGAGATCCTGAGGCCCATTGTTGTGCTATTCAGCCACAACCATCACCTCATGTTGCAGCATGATAACACACGGACCCATATTGCAAGGATCTGTACACAATTCCTGGACGCTGAAAACATCCCAGTTCTTGCATGGCCAGCATACTCACCAGACATGTTACACACTGAGCATGTTTGGGATGCTCTGGATCGGCGTATACAACAGCGTGTTCCAGTTCCTGCCAATATTCAGCAACTTCACACAGCTATTGAAGAGGAGTGGACCAACACTCCACAATCAACAACCTGATCAACGATGGAGATGTGTTGCCCTGCGTGAGGCAAATGGTAGCCACACCAGATACTGACAGGTTGTCTGCCCCATAAAGCAAAACTGTGCACATGTCAGGGTGTCCTTTTATTGTGGGCAGTCTGTACATTATTCATGTTGTCTAATCAGCTAGCCTGGCCTGCCAGGCTCATCCTCTGTTTAATTCTGCACAGAGAAAGAGTCTGGTAACTCATAGCCAGAGAGGCACTTGAGGGGCGGGACTAGGCAGCTCAAAAATAACCAATCAGAAAAAAGACGAAAATGCCAACTGTACTGCGTGATGCTGTAGTTTTTTAGCCGTAGTAAAATTTAAAAAAAAAAGGCGTCTGACAACAGCGCAAACATCTTTTTTTTTTTAAATAAATGCTTTTAGCGCTTCTACTTGTTGTTTTAAAGAGGTGTCCAAGTCATTAAGAAAAGAGGAAAGAGCCCCGCGAACTCCGCTTCAGTCGCCATGTTTGACAAACTCGGAGTTATGGTGTGTGATGTACGCTACTCAGTGCTGATCGGCTCGGTTAGAATTCCCACGGGGTGGGGTTATTTGAATAGGAGCATTCCCAGATCCTTTCTCTATGCAGAATTAAACAGAGGAGGAGTCTGGCAGGCCAGGCTACTGACCAGCCCCTTGATATGCCGCACCTGTGAGGTGGGATGGATCATCTTGGTAAAGGAAAAGTGCTCACTAACAAACACGTGGACAGATTTCAGAACAATATTTGAGAATCATGGGTGTGTTGTGTATGTAGAAAAAGTTTCAGATGTTTGAGTTCAGCTCATGAAAAACAGAAGCAAAAACAAATGTTGTGTTCATTTTTTTGTTCAGTGTAATATCAGGAGGGTGTGGCCTATGAATAATAGCCAATAAGAGGGGTGGGAGTTCTGTGAATGCATTTGTGTTCAAAAGCTAGCTTTTTTTTTTTTTTGCAGATTTACCATAGCGATTTAAACTGTAGAAAAAAATAAACAAATCCAATACATATTGAACCAAACTTACCATAGCAACATCATCAAGAATACCCTGAGGACTGCTGTGGGCCATTATCTGAGCATGAAGACAAAAAAGAAGAGTCAGCCAGGTGGAAATCGGCCCCAACGAAAGGAACTGAAATAGACTTCCTCTAATCCACCACAGTTATAAAAACTAAATGCTTTAGAAATATTGTGATTCTCCATTCAGGGTTTAAAAACAAACCTTGGTACAAACAAAATCAACCAGAGTGGGCTCCTCTTCTCCGATGTATTCAATAATCTTCTTATTGATCCATGGTCTAATGCGACGATCCATCAGATTCTGGAGAAGATAAACATCAACTAGTGTTCAAATGCTGATCAACTGATATCAGATTAAGACAGATTTATACAAGACCTTTACGGATTGGTTTTTAGAGTGTATTTGGGTTTTTTACCGAATCAACCATAGCCCAGTCCAGAGGGTAGGAGAAGAGCTCAGGTCTGGAGGTGGGGATCTTCTCTATAAGGCTCTTTATATGCTTGCGTTTCTCTTCTGTGTTTATGCTGTTTTTAGTCGAGGAGATTTCTGCCCCATCAAGCCCAAGACTCTTGTCATCGTCGCCGTAATCCAGCGGAACCAGTTTCCTTTTACAAGGTTGCTCATCAGCTTCTTCTTCGTCAAACTTGTTGAAAACACTATCAACTGTGGTGAGCTTCTTTCTCTTCCCCATGCTCAGCTGGCTGGGACTGTTGGTCGTACCTGGAAGAGAAAACGAGGAGGGGTACTGATGCAATCTGGCAAAAAAAATAAAAATACTGCACCTCAACACACCTCTTGTGCTGAGTTTACTACAGAACTCACCGAGTCTGAGACTGAGACCGATCTTGGGTCGGTTCTCTTCTAAAGGTAGGACATCGGGAGTGTTCTCGCCAGGAATGATTATGCCACAGGGAGATTCGTTGCCAGGTGTGTTTGGAGTCGCGTTCCCACTGGCAGAGGAAACCGAGGGGGCAGTGGTGATTGGTCGCATGATGGGTTTGAGCTGAGGCTTGGTTTCTTGTGAGTCCTTGCCATCGTGGGAGTCATCCTCCTGCCCTTCATTCACATAATCATCTGAATGTTGCTGGGGCACCTGGGACTTATGCTCCACAGGCCTCTCTGAACCTCTCTTCTCTCGTTCCCTTCCCCTTTCCCTTTCTCGATCCTGATCCCGATCCCGATCCCGATCTCGATGCCGGTCTCGTTCCCGATCTCGGTGAGTTTTCTCTTTGCTTATGACCTCCTCAGGTTCAAGGTTCAGAGGGGGCTGTTGTCTGCGCTCTGCTTCCTCCTCAAGCTTCAAAGACAAGCGATACACAAAATTTACACAGTAAAATATTTGATTGTGAGTCGCGGCGAATGGCTGCTCATACTGGGCCAAGTTCTGTTGGAGGTTTCTTCCTGTTAAAAGGGCATTTTCCTCTCAACTGTCACTACATGCTTCCTTAGTATGGGGATTGCTGGAAAGTCTCTGGCACAACAAGTCAGTGACTCGATGCAATCGGCTGGGTTTCCTTACTATTAACTAATTGGCATAATGAACTGAACTCAGTTGGATTGTTTTACTTGATGCAGTGCCTTGAGACTATATAAATAAACTGAACTGACTGCATGAACGGTTGTGTGAATGAGTGCAAGAGAACCAACCCTCTGCAGCTCAGCATCTGGATCAGGGTGACCCTCAGCTAAAAGTCTTTGTCTGATCTCTTCCAGCTCCTCCTTCTCTCTCTTACGGTCTCGCTCATCCATTTCTATCTCCTTTTCTCGATCGCGAAGTCGTTTCTGCAGAGCGCTGCCCCTGAGGACGAAAACAACACAGAGCACTAATTAATGACGTAAAAACAGTGAAACACACTTCTCCGAATGCGCAATGAGATAATCACCTGTAGTACTTCGGATCATCCCGGTCATCGTCATAATCTTCAAGGAACTCTTTCAGTCGTTTAGCTTCTTTCATCTATTTTAAACAAACAATAACAATTAGAAAATCTCCATAAATACAGAAAGACGCATCTAATCCTATAAGTAGCAAAAATCTGACTTCCTCTTGTGTAAAGTGTGTTACCATTTCACGTCGCCTCTCGTCCTCCCTCTCAGTTTCTTTACTGTAGTCACGAGTCTTCTTCCTCTCTCGGATCTCCCAGTTTTTAAGACGCTTCAAAAACACAATCATTTAGCACTCGGGCACAAAAAACAATCAGCACATTTAGCAATCAAATGATGACGCACACACCTCTTGGTAAGCAGCCTCTTTGTCTCGCAATCTTCTCTCGAGTCTCCGACGTTCAAAAATGTCTTCCTCATCTTCGTCACGGGTACGTTTTTTCTCCTCTCTAGTTCTCTCCCTGCAGAACACAGCAAGTTACAGATTATAGCTTTCGAATATATTGCATACTCAAAAAACAAATGTTTAGACCTTTTAACAAAAGAAAACCTTTTCTTTGTTACCTTACCAGAACGAAAATGAACCAAACCATGAAAATAAAACTAAAGTACGTACCAAACCGGCATTACAGAGGTACCGTTACAACCTTGTTCACCAAGTTGCTGTGCAAACTCTCACAACCATTCTAAATGATAGTGCGGCCATGTAAATGATGAATAAACAGACATGGGAACAGGTGGAATTATCGCTTCGAAAAGTATTCTTTTTAGGGAATCATAGACGATCGAGTACTAATTAAATAAAGTATAAATTAGTAGTAGGTTAAAATACTAACATGTCAAACTATTGTTCTTTTCTTAAAGGGACTTTTCGGACTTTTGAATTTTTATGCTCGCGATTGCCCCCTCAGACCAAAAGCGTAACGGCAGCTTCAATAGTAGGCTCGTGCACGAGGCGCGCATGCTGTACGTGCACACTCCTTAACGAAAATAACAGCTGAGACAGTCCCATGTGTGTGTGTGGGGGGGGGGGGATGGGCCAGTCCTGCTGCATGCTCAGATCATTCCCTTCCCTTGCTTGAAAAATTGTTCTAAATTAAAGTTGAACCCACATCTTTTTTATCTGTGAATTCAATGCCGTTCGGCGGGTTTCAAATAAAAATTTGGGCATCTTAATGTAAAAAAAATATACCATTAATGTAAAAAAAGAAACTCTAAATAAACTATCTTCACATCCAGAATCAAACCCGGGTCTCCTGCACGGGAGTCCGACGTCTTACTAGGTGAGCTAAAGCGCCAGTGACGTCCATTGTATCTGTAACATATATATCCTTGATGACAGCTGAAACAACGTTCAAAGAACGGTTTGGAGTGAAAATGGCTATTTTGTTGCTAATTTGCAGGAAATATCTAGAAGAAAGTTCTACAGAAAGTAGCTAAGAGTCCTCAGAAATGTAGCTAGCTTTGTCACTAGGCGTTAGAAACAGCGACAAAGTGGCACTACCGCTCTCTCTGCTGCTAAAGCTACGGATAGCAAATGCTACGGGCGATGCCTGAGCGTGAACACGCATGAAGCAGCCTGCTCGACCCGAGCAGCTCTCTTTTTCTGTGATTTTACAGAAAAACAGGCAATCACAGTAAAAATGCCAGGGCTCATTCTACAGGACCAGGGCATTGCAGGAGAATTTATGAAGAAGAAATGTATTATTTCTATACATGTTTTGGCTGTCAAACTTCCATAATGCCCCTTTAATGTTATTCAATAATTAACTCAGGCATCTAATAATATTTTCAAAGTTAACAAAAGGAACTCTAAACCAGGTTTTCTGCTTCATGGATGCATGAATGCATGAAAGAAGACAATAAAAAAAATAAAGCTGAAGATGATTCTAGAGTCTAAATGAAGCAACAACTATGATGGTTATGAATTATGTGGTATTACTGGTATGATGGATGGATAACTGGACCCTGACATTCTCCCTGTGACAAGAATACTCCATCATTTTAATTAGAGTTGAATGACGTTCAGTTTGAGCGTATGTGGGGCAAAACGGTATTTGGCAGCCATCAACATTGTGACAGAATGAATGTAAAAAAATTAAAATCCAGGAAATCACAGTCTGATTTTTAGTATTCGTTTGTATTTTGGTGCAGAAAATAAGTATTTAGTGAATTACTAAATTATTACTTTCTAATGCAATCTTGTCAACAATGACAGAGATCAAATGTCTTCACCAGGTTTGCTCACACTGCTATTGCTGGTATTTTGGCCCATTTTACATGCAGATCTTCTCTAGACCTTTGATGTTTTGGGGCTACTGATGGTCTTAATTCCCTTCACAGATTCGATATTGATTGAGGTCTGGAGACTGGCTAGGCCTCTCCAAACCTTGAAATATGTTTTAGATATTTGCAGGTTCTGGTTGTCTGAGTGGTGTGTTTGTTATGCTTGAAAATCTAAGTGTGTTTCATCTTGGAAGGTTTTTGCCCAAAACCTCACAGTGCATGGCTCTCAATACAGATCAGCCATCCTGTCCCTTTTGCAGAAAAGCACCCCAAAGCATAATGTTTCCACTCCCGTGCTTCACAGTGGGTATGGTGTTCTTGGCATGCAACTCAGCATTCCTCCCCCTCTAAACACGGTGAGTGGCATTCATACCTAAGAGTTCTATTTTGGTCTCATCTGACCGCATGACATTCTCCCAGTCTTCCTCTGGATCACCCAGATGGTCTCTGGCCAACTTCAGATGGGCCTGGACATGTGCTGGCAGGTGGAATTTTGGAGTGCTGCAGGATTTTAATCCATTGTGTGTTAAATAGTAACTTTTGTTATTGTGGTTACGGTTCTCTTCGGGTCATTTTTTCTTATAAAAATAAATCCTTTAAAAATCCGACTGGGATTTTCTGGATTTTTTACACTCCGTCTCTCACAGTTGAAGTGCACCTATTATGAAAATTACAGGCCTCTCTAATCTTTTTAAGTGGGAGAACAAATATAAATTGGTGGACACCAAAAACCTTTTTGCCCCACTGTGGGATATAAAATAACAAGAATGTTAAAGCTGAAACATAACACCCCCTAGTGGCTGACTCCTACGCTGAACAACAATATAATCAATATTATTACAGGTGTTAATTCATGTCCAGATGTTTACTGTTATAATACATTTGGCTGTAATTATTTTATCGTTATTAAGTCATTAAGACAAGTCACTGACCCGGACTTGCTGCGAGCTTCGCTGATGTCTCGACTTCTCTCCCGCTCCTTAGTCCTCTCGCGTTCTCTATCTTTCTCCCGTTCGCGTTCTCGATCTCTATCCCGCTCCTTCTCCCTCTCCCTTTCCTTCTCTTTCTCTCGATCCCGACGCTCCCTCTCTCGTTCCCGTTCTTTGTCCCTCTCCCTCCTTTCCTTCTCCAGCTCCTGCCGTTCTTTGTCTTTCTTTCCTTTCTCCTCTTCCAGTTTCTGTACAAGACCAACAGGAGAAAACGGGACATTGTCACTAAACACCAAAAAAAGTGTTTAAACAATAAGAATCACAATGAAAACATAACGACATCATCATCATCACCACAAAACTATTCAGACTGTCTGTTCTGTACATGTTTACATACGACCAGGACTCATGGGAAAGAAGAAGATGGCTGCTCCAAGTCAGGAAGTCTTGCAGTTTCCTCCAGGAGGAGCGGTCCACCGCTAGAGCAGGTCTGATGTTTACACACCTCTTTATGTAAAACCATTAAACCGTACTCAGTTCTCCACAGACACCTAAAGAACCCAGTTAGGGAGTGTGTGTGTGTGTGTGTGGTTTACATTAGGGATGTAAGAAAAGATCGATATGCCGATATATCGTGATATTTTTTCCAGCGATATATCAATATTCAAAAGTTGTGTATGGAATTTTTACAGGCAAACATTTGTGTATTTTCTTTTCTTTTGGTGCAAACACTGACCGCTTGTTGGCAGCAGTGTGCAGTGGGTTTTGTTTCCACCACTGAACTGTAAATTCCTCTATTATGGTTCAGATACCTCATGTTAAACGTATCAGTTTGGACTGTTTAATGAATTTTCCTACAATTAATTCAGTCAAAAATAATCGCTAACATCGCATTACTGAATGTTTCGCAATATCAAGGTATGTTGTATCGTCTCCCCTGTATCGTGGTACGCATCGTATCGCCATATTTTCACCAATACACATCCCTAGTTTAAACCATCTACTGGATGTTCGTTTTAGTCTTTCTGGTCTAATCGTTAACTCTAAACACAGAAAATTTTGTTCTTGTTACTTCAGAGTAGAAACTGTTTTCCCGACTCTCAGTCAGTCACATGTTACATTAGTTTTATTTCACCTCACACAAAAAAGGTCAATCCAGTCTCTGAAGCCATTACCATAGGATATCTGGCGGTTTGAGATAATGCTCTGATGTAACAGGAAGGCATTCCAATAAAACATAAACTGCTGCGGGGTAAGATGAGTATCCGTCTCACTCATCTCCACCCATTTTCCAAATCAATGTGTAGCCGTGAGTAATAAGCTGGATCTGATGTGAGATCCTGAGGGATGAACACGTTTGACACGAGGTTAAATGACCCTAAATGCACGAATGTAAAGTACTGACGTCACTCTGCTGCCGTGTTACCTGCGGGTGCCAAGTGGATTAAATGTCCTGGCTTATGGAGGCCCACTAAAGTCAATTACATAATCAGAATCGACATGTTTTCGTCACGGATGGGTGAGATGCAGAGATGCCCAGCAAACGTTGGCACCTCCTGATGTTTTGAGGTTGTGTGGGGTCGCGCCACAATAACAACACGGTGGTGTTTTTATGAACGTGTCTGAAGTTGCTGTGGGGCAACTTACAGGTGATGAACTACAGATACAGCACTTCTCTGGCCCTAAACCTCCTATAGGCTCGGTGTGGGAGGAAGAGCAGGTCAGGGTCAAGTCAGAAAAAAAGCCTCCAAACATCATCTGTGAAGTGTTGGGTTCAGTGTAAAACCATTGATGTCATAGCTGAACAGTCAAATGCTACATTTCATTTCTGCCACAAGTGAACCAGTCTTACCTGCAGGTTGGTTCATGATGTCGTTCTGGTCTCTCCGACCCAGTTTGACTAATATTAGTCAGACCCACAGATCAAACAGTCCACTAGCTGATTTCAGACCTCGTCTAGCAACACGATTATTGAACTGGTCAGATTATCTTCAAAAGAGAATGTTTGTAATGTGCCAGGTCTGGTAAATAATGACAACAGAGAACAGGAAAGGGAAGAAAACAGGAAGAAAACGACTGGATCCACAGTCGGATTCACTTTGCCGATTCGACTCTCTAGGAAACAGACTTGGTCTAGATTTTTGAACGTGGTCATAAAACCACATAAAGCCACAGTGTATTTGGAGTATTAGAGCTTTAGATTTAATTAAATTGTTATTTTTATAATTTAAAGCTTTATCTATTTATTCTGAATAAAGAATTACCAAAGCACTACTATATTGTTGTTTACGTTATTATTATCAATAAAGGGAAGCTGCTCAAAAACTGAAAAAGCAACAGTTGGATCTTACCTTTAATGTCTTCAGACCACAGAGCGCTGTGGAGAGGCGCTCCCTGCTTTAGCAAACACTACTGGCTGCAGTCTAAACTACTGCAGAGGTTAGACTCGGCTGTTGTGTGTTCAAACACATCATTCATTATCTGAGGACACACAGAGGTTGACTAAGCTGCCCGTCCTTCTCAAAGCTGAGGACACAAACACTTCCTCCAGTCAGGGGAGAGGGTTTCACCCCTACGTCGACAGGTTTAGGAGATCAAACTCTGCTGAAGTGAGAGCCAGTTGCCCCTCTGCACACCCTCCAGAGGGGAGCGCCCGATCAGAGTAGAGAGGAAATGAAACATCTTACTTACGTTCTATCCTCCTTAACTTTTCCCAAAGCTGAGATTCTGACACTCATCTCACTCTAGTCACCAGATGAACTCTACCATATTGGTGGGGTTTAATCAATAGATGAGCTTAATCATTGCGTCCATGCACTCTGGTGATTTTAGCTCGTGCTGATTGTTTCGGGCTCAGATTTGCAGTTATGATGACACTAAAAACTCCTATTTAAGAGTCAAAATCAACATTTTCATTCATTTTACTGGCTGAATTTGACCAGCTGGTTCATGTACTGACTAAGAGAAATCTGCTTCCTTCAGAGGAGTATCTACGGTAACTCAATAGAATAATGATATTTACAGGATAACAGCAGACTGATACACACCTTGTGTGTGTCCCGGAATTTACTGATCTCTCTGGAAATGAGGTCTCTCTTGTCATCCTCCAGCTCCATGGCAGCAATGTCCTTACAGACAGAACGGGGAAATCATGAAAACGTGAAACTAAAGTGAAGCTTTTCATGTAATCTGTACCTTTTCCAAAGATTACCTCCTCTTTCTTCTCTTTGCGCTTCTTGTTGCGCGGCTGGCCGTCGCCATCCTGTGAGGGGGCATTAAGCTCACTTGAGTATTCTCGAATAAGAACGTCTATGGCGCCCCTCACAACCTGGTCCCGACACAAGGTTTCTTCATCAAGAATGTCCTCCTCCTCACCTTCCTCTTCGTTTTTTAACCCATCTGTGGCTCCCTTCAGGCCAAAGCAAGAAAATGAAACAAAAACACACATATGAGTAAAATAACCCCTCAGTCCCACATTTACTCATGACGGGAACATCATACCTGGTTGGTGCTCCTCTTCTTGGCCTTCCACTCTTCTAGCTGAGCCTTGGTTTTGGCGTCAACCTTGACCAACAACTTTTTATCCCCTAAGAGCAACTCGTGTAGAAGTCTGAGAGCTCGCAGTGTGGACTCGGGCTCTTTATACTCACAGAACCCAAACGCTTCAGACAGTTAGAGCAAATCCAACGTTAGTAACAATATTAAATACTTATTTTGCATTCAAAAGAACTAAAGCGTTTACGTAAGAATTATTCACATGATGCTAAAAATATCTTAAAGGAAAACCAGAATCCACATTGCATCATGAACAGGTGAAATCACGTGACAGATTAGGATATAAAGGTAAAAGTCTCTGAAGCATTAAATAGCAGGACTTGCATGAAGAAAAACATAAAAATTCACCTTGAAGCTTCCCAGAGGCACCTTGAACCCTTTTCCAGCTTAGAACTATTCCACATTTCTATATTGACAAACAAAAGATAACATTTTTAATTTTTTCTTGATTCATATTGAAAAAAGGCCTTCTGATAAAATAATGTATTTGTCGATCACGGCCACATTTATGCAAATCAATTGTTTTCTAATTTCCAAGAAACATTAAAAGTAGTTCACCTTTGTGCAGATATTTAGTTTTTATGAGATGTGAATGCTACTACTCACCTAGAGAAAGTAAAGATTTTACACTTTTACACAATATAAAGTTAAAGTTAATGTCCCATTAGTTGTCACACACACAGGTGTGTGTGCGAAATTTATTCTCCGCATTTGACCCATCCCCTGGGGGAGCGGTGAGCTGCAGACGAGCCGCGCTCGGGAACCATTTGGTGGTTTAACCCCCCAATCCAACCCCTAAATGCTGAGTGTCAAGCAGGGAGGCATTGGGTCCCATTTTTTCAAAGTCTTTGGTATGACCCGACCAGGAATCGAACCCCTGATCTCCCAGTCTCAGGGCCTGTCCACACGTAGCCAGGGATCTGCCAAAACGTAGATATTTTTCTACGTTTTGGCCTGTCATCCACACGAAAACTGAGTTTTTTCACACGAAAACGGATCTTTGTAAAAACTCCGGCCAAAGTGAAGATCTGCGTTTTCTCCGTTTTGGGTGTCCGCGTGTGGACGGACATAACCGGAGTTTTAAGGTCCGCAACGTCACTTTCCACGACAAAAAATGCTGACATCACGTGTGCGACCTGTGTTTACACTAGCCGGCATCATGGAAGCCCTCAGAGCTGCGCTCTGTCACTACCCGATCCAGCAAGTGTCCAAGCGCTTTCTGCTTTTTTGTTTTTGCAAGCAGAATTACTGCTCCTTGCGGAAGACCACAGACGAAGGACGAGGTTAAGAACGGGGGAAGTACTGCCGCCTACAGGTCTGGCATGTCCTTAACAACGTATTTATCCGGGTACGTGTGGACAGAATTTGTTTTTAAAACGCGGTGGTGTGGATGCAAGTTTTTGGAGGGGCGGATATTCGTTTTCAAATAACCCCGGCTACGTGTGGACTAGGCCTCAGGGCGGACACTCTACCACTAGGCCACTGAGAAAGGTTTCTTTATTAAAACACCTCACCACTCACCGCTAGAAGCTGTCTGACCAACATGTCAGAAGCCTTTTCGGAGATGTTGCCCACAAACACCGTGGTGGTAGGGGCCCCAGTGTCCTCTGGGTCCTTGGCTCTCATGCTGAGGTCTTTCTTTTGAACTATAGGGTTCTGTACAACAGCAACTGTGGTCGGGACCAGAACCTGCAAACATCAATGCAAATTTTAGGTTGTGGCTCTTGTTTGATTGTTAAAACTATACTTCTAATATATAAAGACTGTGTGGTTTAGGGTTAGAGCATCTGTTCTAAACTCACTGTGGGTGGAGGTGCCAACAAGCCCATGTGAACGGGGATCATAGGGGTACCTGCAAATGAGAAAACTTCATCTATTCTTTGAATACAAAGAATCCTGTAACAAACACAACAATCTAAATGGATCCTGATTTAAATCTAAGCAGAGTTAGAACAACAATAAAACACTTTAAGCTATTGTTTTCAAACTGGTTTCAGTGGTTCTTGAGGCAGAAACTTGAGCAGCTTCACACTGCGGAGCACTCTGCTGCCCTCTACTGACCAGAAACTGCAATTAACCGTTCTGTGGCAGCTGTTTATTGTGCCGGTGGCTAACATAAAGGTGAGCAGTTAGCTTTTTCAGTTTGCAGACCGTCAATAAAAAGCAAAAGAAGTTTGCATTTTTTGCTGGCATCATGGCGTAGTCTGGAAGTAAAAGTAAGAGAGCATGCTGGTGAAGGTTCTCAGTCATCCAGGTCATGGTAATTCAAAGAGTTCGAATGAAGGCAACTAAACTTTGGTTTCTTGAAGATGTTTTGCTTCTCATCCGAGGAGCTTTGTCAATTCTGACTGGAATATGGGAGGTAAGAATTGACAAAGCTCATCAGGTAAGAAGCGAAGCGTCTTTAAGAAACAAAGAAAGTAATGTCTTTGGAAGGGAAGCAAAGAGCTAAAACCAGAGTGAACGCGGCCTACACTCCTCTGAGGGAGTTAAAGGAGGCTATGAACTGATGGTGACCTGGCTTTGTTGCTACTAAACTTGATACAGAATTTTTAGCCAACAGTGTGGATCTTTTTGTTTCATGGACTATTTAGTATCCAGTGTTTCCCCTAGAAATATTTCCAGCCATGGCAGGGGATGAGGTGGTCACTCGTGCATGAGAGTGGGCGGGGGGCTTTGCTCAAGGAACGATTTGCTTCCGTGTGTCTCCCATAAGGGGGGAGTGTGCTTGGAAAGTTTAGCTTCCGTGTGTCTACCGTGAGAGTGGGGGGTGGGTCAATTTTGTAGCCGTGGCGCAGAGCCACGGCTGAGCCTATGTAGGGGGAATACTGGTATTAGCTTGTGTTGTCTCAGGCTTTTCTAAACAGAGTATTTTCCCGTCAAATTTCTATCGGCGGTTAATGCAGGATATAGGGTAGAACACTATTTTCACGTTTAGCCTGCATGTTAGAGTCAGAGTAACCAATCAGAATAACAAAAATTACATAAAAAGTGGTTTCTTAGTGAACTTGCGCTGTAACTTTAGAGGTCATTTACTTTTCCCAGCAGAGCGGGGTTAGTTTGGATCACTTTAGTCTCTTGAACACTGCATTTTGTGTTTACTTAAAGAGCAAGTCACCCCCAAATCAACTTTTTTTTTGCTTATAAACTCAAAAATAAAGGAGTGTCGAATCATGCTGCAGACATGTGTAGTCAATAAATTGCCACTTTAGTGCATCTTAGTCAAAATTTTAATATACCGGTACTACCTAAAACTGTCAGTGTTGCACCGTCTTCAGGTAAAAACTCTGCACTACATTTGAATTTAAATCTGCCATCGCTATTGGCTATGACGTTAGCTGGTACCATATAATATTACAATGCCGCTCTGTCTGTGTGTGTGTGTGTGTGTGTGTGTGTGTGTGTGTGTGTGTGTGTGTGTGTGTGTGTGTGTGTGTGTGTGTGTGTGTGTGTGTGTGTGTGTGTGTGTGTGTGTGTGTGTTAGCGACTCTGCCCCCTCTGTCTGCTAGGCAACGCCTTCTAGTAGCGCATTTCTCAAACAGGAAATGGAAGACTCTGGTAGGGCACGACTTGCTCTTTAAGTTAGAAACTAAAGAAATCTTTAAGGAGGCTAATCTTTTTTAGTCTGTCTTTTAGATTTGATCACACACCCATGTGATGCTAAACTGTTTTGTCATTTAAACATAACTGGAGTTTTACTTTAGCATCATTCACTTTTATTAGTTTTATAGCAGTTGTTTCTAGTATTTTGACTAAAGACAGCTGCGTTTTCATATCTTCATTTCAGATATTATATGTTATTTTAGACCGTTTATGCTTTTAAAAAGCTAACAACAAAGCAATGAGCTGCTGTCCAAACACAACTATAAAAGGTATTTGGACAATACCTGGCGGAACCGGTGGGGCAAAGCCTGCGAACGATGGAGGGGGTAGCCTGGGAGGTAACTGAGGGATACCGATCTGCGGGCGGACTGGAGGAGAGTATGACATCCTGAAGGAAACCTGAAACATAACAAACATGTTAAACAGCTACAACCACTGGGACACGTCTTTAAGTGTCCTCCAGTTGGATCAAACTGTGCAAACAATAATAATACAGCAATAAAATATGCATAGTGCAGCCTAATGCTAGTACTATTGATTAAGTAAGGTGGATTAATGATTAATAAAATCTAGAACGTGAATGCTAAATTAGCTCTAACTAGCTAACCTTGCTAGTTCCATTAGCTGCAGCAGTCATGGACGGATTTACTCACCTACTGAGTAAAATAAAGACCCAGAACAAAACCAGTCTCCAACAGCGGTGCTACGATTTACCTACAAAAATAAAACCCAATAAATACAAAAAACAGGACAATGTAGCAACAAATGCATGCGCTGTTTCTGACACCGGTGGGCTACAGGAAACCCGTATGTAAGAAAATCTGGAACCTTTTCTCAAGGAATCATGGGAAAACACACGAATAGTGGGCATTATAAACCCTCTGCTTTGTCTTTCAGGCTTTTATTACCCGGGTCCACACTCTGATCCCTTACACATTTAACATAACACACACACATACACAAAAAAAAGATACCTTCCACCAAACCAGCATTTGTGCAGTCTTTTTTTCATATGTAAATTCAATAACCCTGGTTATAATAAATCTGCATCACATTTTTAATGTGGTGTTCTGAGAATGCATGTTACTATTTTATACTCACAATACACTATTTGAATTACTGGAAACTTTCTGAAAATATTAAAAAATAAACCAAAAACTAATACGAATCTAATCTATTAACTTTTTTTATTTTAAGTAGCCACAGTTACAGATTTTGTTTCCATGCAGAATTACATTTTTTCAGTCAAATTCAACATTTTCTTGAAATAATTTTACCATTTTAATAAGGTACAACTGGACAGTTATTTTAATTTTCACATTTTTTACAATAATTTAACAAATTAGCTTTGATGAATGATGATGAATATTAATACAATATTGTATTAAAATGTACAGCATACACTAGTTGGCAGTTACATACAAACATCCTAATTATCTAGCACCGGAAGTATAACTGAAGCTTAAAAATGATTCAGTTATTTGTTTTCAGGTAATACATCGTGTAAACGTTGTGGTAGGGTAGAGAAAGGTTTTGCCTTACAATATTAACTCAGGGCAAATCGTGCCCGTACTAAGAGAAACCATCGGTATTTTCTACTCTCAAACGCTAGATGGCGCCAAATAGTGTAAATTAACAGTCGTTTTGTCATTCATTTTCCACCACCAGTTACAAAACCACACACCGTGAAAAATGCTTAATGACACGGAATTCGCTGCAAAAACAGCATAAAAAATACGAACGAATAGATAAACAATGTAAAATTATGAACTGCAACCAATGCACGAGTTAACATTTTCGACATTAAACGTATATAGAAATTAAATACATAATGTTCACAGGCATAGATTATATTTTAAATATGCAGGAAATGATATGCACTGCCTGCACATACCCCCCCCCCCCCCCCACACACACACACACACACACACACAGACACACACAAATAATTATACGTGTTGCTATGACAAAATATCATATTCGTTGGTTCATTGGATCGCCTTTGATTTGGCAACCGTTCCCTTTTTCAGTATAAGCGTCTGCTATGTCACAAGGTTTGTTTCCACCCAGTGCTGCCTGAAGTTTCATCAGCATCTTGTGCTGATGATGGAAGAACCTGGCCACTGAACAAGGCCTTCTCCAGCATGTCCCAAACATTCTGAATGGAGTTAAGGCCTGGACTCTGGGGTGACAGATCCGTGTGTGAAAGCAATATCTCAAGCTCCTTTGGCTCTATGAATCTTTGTGATATTGGAACATGTCTTTGAGATCAGGATAGAAAAAAAAAACCACTGATGGAATCACCTGCCCATTCAGCTGACAAAATTCTTTAGACACATAATATTCCTGAAACAACACCTGACCAACTGCAGCAACACCAGATCATTTACATCAGCCACAAGCTACTACAGCATGCAACAGGCAACTGGAGAAAAAGAGAGCATAAAAACTGTACTCTGCAGCCATGTTAGAAGGTCTGATGAGTCCAGATTGATCCTGTTCTATCCATAGAGTGATGGGACCATGATGGGGAATTAGAGAAGCAACGTTTTGGGCCAGACAGTGCAATATAATATAATATAATATAATATAATATAATATAATATAATATAATATAATACAATACAATATCTATATAGACCTACTATATATTATATTATATTATATTAAAGATGAAAATAAACATAACATTTCCCCTTTTAGAGTTTGCAAATAAATCAAGCCCTATTGATTCTTGTGAGTGGAAAACACCGGACTTGTTTTGGTTCCGGAGCTGTCCCTAAAACACCTGTCTCTCTTGAGTCGCTGTAATGTAAGCAGGTCCATCAGAACCGCGGTACCACTCTGGAAATTTCCACTCCGATGACTCAGCAGCGCTGCACTTCTCATTGAGACTCATTGAGGAATAAAAAAAGAGAAGCTCCTGTCCTACATCGGCTCTCACGCGTACAGGAAAAAGCCCGCCTCCTCCGGGCTCTCCTATTGGTCAACTCGAAGGTGTTGTCACACACCCTGACGTCACACTCTCTATTTGAAACGGAACGTGCCCCTGTAAAAAACACGAGTTGCACCACCGGGGCGGATATAAACACTGATAACTGAGACATTTCGCTGTTTGTGTGACTAAATTAGGGCGTGAGCGTCTTCTCCAACCAGCCCGGTCCTCCTCATCAGCAGCTCATTAATATTAAGCAGTTCCCGGAGCCATAAGACCTGCCCCCTCTCACGCTGACTGACGCTTTCAGCATCCAGCAGCTCAGCTCGCCGGCTTTCACCAGAAACTCGGACCGTACTTGTGGAAGAGACAATGGCTCTAAGAGGACATGTCTCCTGTCTGCTCAGGGCTCAGCTGAGACATAGATCCCACAGCAGAGCCAAGTCCGTGGCTGTTCTAGGCGCTCCGTTCTCCGGAGGACAGGTAAGTTCGTGTCTCACGTTGTCTCCTCCACTTTCGTAAGACATGTGGATCTGACTCTTTTTTTATTAATTTTATTTATTTTTTGTCATCCTTGTTCTCACAGAAGAGACGCGGAGTGGAACACGGACCTAAGGTCATCAGAGATGCGGGTCTCATCGAGAGGCTGTCCAGTCTAGGTGGGTGAAGAACTGAACCGGTTACGCAACAGCGCTGCGTGCCAGTTTGGCACAGGGAGGCTCCAACTTCTTTCCGGCTACAGCTCGTTACATCACAGGGAGGCAGCATAAATATAAACATCCGATCCCTAACGGCTTAAGAACTCCAATCCTTTGATGTTTTATTGTCTAAGAAAAGACGTCTGTCCAGTATAGGAGACATCAGGGGACATCAGGGGCGGATGGGCTGCAAGGTGCTTTTTTTCTTTTCACAGTCAGAGTGCCACATGTCGGCTTTAGTCATCCTGTCCTCCTGCACATGCTCGGAGGAGGACCTCTGATTTATTTCCACTCTGTCGTCACCGCGGATACACGCGCGCTCTGCCCCGTTTGTCCCGGGCAGACACGTCCCACTGCAGAGGGAGGTGTGTTAAACTTGAAAGAAGACACTTCCCTCGAAAGGAATTCATTTCATTTCTTTATTCTATGGATGGAAGAGTATAACTCATGATAAAGGCACAGCAGGAGCCAGAATAAACCTTAAAACGGTCAAAAGTTTGTCCAAATCCGCTAAACTCACTTGATGTTTGAACAAAATAAAACAGCTCAATAAACATCATAAAACTAACGGATGTTATTAAATCGTTTACATTTGTTGATATTTTCACTCTAAAAATACTTAATTTGTGAGAAAATTGCAAAAGTACATCTTGTGATCGATTTTAAACGTAAGGTGCCCTTTCTGGAAGTTTTATAAATGTAAATTATATTTACGTTTTAATAAATGATCAGGATGAACATGACAATAACGATATTTGCAATATATTATATCTCTGACTGACTGGAATAATGAAAAGGTGAACAAAACTAGGGATAACCAATCGATTTTTGTGTTAATTATGTCATTTAGTCGCAGACTTTTTAAAATTAAACATAAAAACAAATTCTATTTCTTTTTAGACTGTGGTTATATTTACTGCATCTCTGACGTGTTTTTATTTAGAGCTGCAGACCCAGATCTGATCATGATGCATGATAGACCAGAGTAATCGATGCTCAAATCTCGGCAATGCATTTGAAAAATGATTTTTTTAAAAAGAAAACAGATCAAACAATAGTGTGAAGCTATTGTTCCTCTAGTCTACTTGAGGCTGTTTTTGTCCTGCGGGCTGACATTTCTAATCCAAATGTCCTCAGCCACATCAGCTGATTGACTGTAAACATCACCTGCTCTGCAAGAGGAACAGTGTTTTCTATTTATGCATAATTGCAAATTGGGCATTCTTTTGAAAAAGAGGGTAATTTCCACCAGTTAGCATTTAAAACTGTGTGGAAAAAAACAAATAATTCACAACAACCATACAATTTCATTGTAGAATAATAATATAAGCCTAGTTATCTATTAAATGTGTATTTACCTCATGTCTGCAATATTTCTAGTACTCTATAAACCAGGAGAAATAAGCCCTTCAACTTGCTCGATTAAAAAAAAGTCCTTATATTTTATTGAAATCATCAAAAAAATTAGACATTATTACGACTTCATAATATTAATTTGAATGAATTTAAAAAATAATTTAATGAAACATTTTTACTTTTTGATTTTTGTTGCGATTAATAAATGGTTCAATTTTCATCATATAGCCGTCCATTGAAAAAAGTTTCAAAATAAAATGATTGGGTTGTAATGAATTAGATTCTTTTTACTACAAACGATCGATAGCTCTAAAATAAAAACGGGCAAATAACAAAATAGTTATTAAACTGACAATAAAAAGTCGACATGTTTAAATAAATTGTTGACAATGTGATGTATTTTTATATAATTTGGTTTAGAACAATAACATTTATGTCAAAAACAAAATAGTTTGTTATTTTATCTGATTGTATGCGTTTATTGATGCTATTTGGAAAATAGAAATGGGTGGTGGGGTTTTTTCATCCTGCTTGCATGAAATAAAAAAATGCTAAGTTTAAGTTTTCAAATGAGAACATCTCATCACTGTCTATGCCGCCATTATAAAGCTTTGAATCTGATGGAGTCAGAAGCGATGTGATGACTGGGAACAGTCCTCCTGCAGATCCGATGTCTACATGACAGTTGTGATAGAAGATACTGCTGAAATGTTTGTAACTGGGCCAACATTTGAAACCAGACACTAAACTAAATACCATGTCATCCCGAAGCGTTGCTGTCATTTTGTTCACACTCTTGGATTAAACTTTTCATTAAAAACCATCAAAGTTGTGACGTTATCCAGATAAAACCTGATCTAAACCCGATCAGAAGAGAACTTTAAGACTTAATCACGCTATTGAATTATTCTGCAAGAGATGGTCCTGATTGCATCAAGACAAGGCTATTCCTGTCCTGTCTAGGAATGGTAACAGACCACATGGGCTGCCCTTAGATCAGCAGAGTAACCCTACACTGCCATAAGGATCACATTTTAAACCTTGATACTCTAAAGACGGAAAATCATTTACCATCTACATGCCCCAAACCAAACTCATGTTTTTCACCCTTTAAGTCTGCAACACTAGTGCAGGCTGCTGCTGGTGAAACCTGAGATGCAGTGGGAACTGGCACAAACAGAAAGTGCTCCATCACTCATGTTCCAATGGCATTTAATGACTCAGCCTACCTGTGCTGCAAGGTCAGGCAATATTAAGTAATGGATAATCTGGGATGTTCGACTGATCACACAAGACAAGTGGTTCCCTTAAACCAATCTGGATGCAGCACCTGCAGAAGCTATTTGGCTAACCCTAACCCTTCTTGTCATGCTTTTAGATTATTCAGTCCACGACTTTGGCGACCTCAGCTTCCAGCACTTTGAAAAGGACGAACCCAGCTTGGGTGTGAATTTCCCTCGAACTGTGGGCGCGGCAAGTCAGAAGCTGTCAGGCGCAGTGAGCAGAGCCATTGGTGCCGGGCACACCCTCGTCATGTTGGGAGGAGATCACAGGTGATTATGTCTGAATATTTAATTTATATGTAGCTCCTGCACATCAAATTATACACCACAACCTGGTGGTATTTAGACAGTCCCACGAAACAGGCGGGATCCTTTTACTGCCTGTGGTAATGATTAGATTCTGTTAGAAGTCCAAGCTCAGCTTGTGTATTTGAGTGATGCAAACGCCAGACATTTATGTCTGCTCCTTCTGTTTCACAGCCTCGCCATTGGATCAGTGAGTGGCCATGCCCAGCAGTGTCCTGATTTGTGTCTCATCTGGGTTGATGCTCACGCAGATCTAAACACACCCATGACCTCCCCATCGGGGAACCTTCACGGCCAGCCCGTGGCGTTCATGCTCAAAGAGCTGCAAGACAAGGTGAGGAGAAACACCAGGCTTTCCAGGAACCAGTGACCTTCTCTGGGGCCCTTATTTACCCTCCTGAGTTTCTTATACAGGAATAAAGGCCTAAACAGATTACCAAGGTAGAAATATACCCTAAGAAGAAAAGCCCTCAGAGAGGTAATAATTTTAGAGTGTCCTGAAATATTTTGGGTGGAGGAAACACTCAATACCTCGTATTTAAGTCTCTTTATGATTTCCAGTAGAGTTGTACCTATGCCAGCTGAGGGCGTTCTAGCAAACTGAGCCTGTAGACCTAAACACTTATGGAACTAGGATTGAGACAATATTAAATGTAACTTGTACCAAATCTTGTAATCTGTAACATGTTTTGTAACTGTAACTTTCATTTTGTAACTTGTAATTCTCGTTTTGTAACCCGCAACATTTGGTACGCAACATGAAACTTTCAATTATTTAACTTGCAGAAAACAATCAATATGCAAGTTTCAAATCACAACTCTCAAAACACACATCTCAGTCTACAGTTACAAAACTCAAGTCTACAAGTACAAAACTTTTTGTCCCAATTCTAGCTTGCTTCCCAAAGAACCAATGTCTGACCAGCCAATCATGAGTCCTGGATTCCTGTCGAAGACAATTCCTGTTATTATGTGTTACAAAACAAAAGTTTTGTGTTACAAAACATAGTAAAAGTTAAATGTAACACTGTCCCAATCCTAGTTCCATAAACACTCATGTGAAAAGGTTCTGCACTGTAAAAAAAAAGACAGCCTCAAAAAGTAGTTTCAATTTATTTTTTCCTATTTTATTTAAATCTCCCTATTAATTTTAATTGTTAAACTCAATTTTGTGTATTTTGATAATTAAAACTTAAAATTGCTTGTTATTTCAACAAAATGTCATATTTTCCACATTCTCATGCATTCAGTTAACTTAAAACTGCAAGTTATATATTAAAAATGACCCGCCCACTGTGAAAGCTTCAGTGGGCGAGGTGCATTGTGGGTAGTCATGCTATTTTGTTCTAATTGAAAGTGTTTACGCACGTTTATTGTGGGGGTTGTGTTATTCTTAGTTATTGCGCTGTTTAGTGTTCCAAATGTGGAGTTACTTATTGTTGTCATCGTAAGTGAGGAGGGCGGTCGTAGGAATAAGAACGTTGTGCCATTCCGCTCCACTGCACTAGATAAAGTAGTGGCTCACGAGAAATGCTCAGGACGCCGCTCTTTGTGTTCCACTCCCACTGGCTGCCTGCAGTCATTCAGTGTGTGAGTCATGAGTTAGCCAGCACTTTACAGTGTTGCTGTTAGCTCCCTGGTTGAACCTTTGTCTGCATTGGCCGATAGCTGCCTCATTGGTAACACAAGTACAAATAATTGTTCCATTTGTCCAGTAGTGATGGGATTTACGGTTCCTTCATGGGAGCCGTCCATTGGTCGGTCGCTTACCTCAAAGAGTCGTTCAAAAGACTGGCTCCCTTGAACGAAGTGAAGATAAGAAAGCGTGGGGTGGGGGTATTAAGAGAAACGTGTTCCTCCGGTGTCAGTGAGGGCGCACGGTGTTGGGTAGCGTTCCTCCTACGTCCGTCACAGCGGTGGGTGGGGTTTGAGCGGGTGCGCTTTACCGACTTCCAGGGCTCTCTACAGGGACTCGGCTCTCATCGTTCACTTTGAAAACCTGTTCAAAAGATTCGGTTCAATCGAGAACGTCACATCACTACCCCCCATAACTGTTCTGTCTCGCGGAGGAGCTAATTTGTGTGCATCTGTGTGAAACACTCATAGGAAAGAAAGACCCACCACCAGCCCACCCCCCCCTCCTGCGACTCGGCTCCCATTGTTTATGTTTATGAGCCGTTCAAAAGAATAGGTTCGTTCGCGAACGTCACATTGTTCAGATAACATAAACTTAATTTGAATGGACAACCATACATGTCTAACTTAAATTTCTAAGCTACAATAATGTAGAATTGTGTTTAACAAGACAAAAGGATTTTTCCACTTGCTAATCAAACAAGATTTGTTGTTTCAATATAATATTCAAACATAGTTATAATTTATATTTGTACAACTTGACATTTAAGTTTAAGTTTGACTTTTAAAGAAATTATTCATTTAAGTTGACATGACTCAAGTTTTTAAGACAGCTGGTGAACTTTCGTTTTTAAGTTATTTTGGCTTACAATTTATTACAATGTACAGGTAGGTGATAAAATTTAAATTACCTTGCAGACTGAAAGTTTCACGATACCCAGACTTAGTGACACACATAACCTTTGAGCATCTTGTTCTTGTCTTATCTCTGAGATATGATGCCTCCACTCTTATAAAAACATACATTGTGTTGATTAATTTTGGGTTCTTCATGTTTCTTCTCGTGTCCACGCAGATTCCAGATGTTCCTGGATTTTCATGGACTAAACCATTTCTGTCCTCACGGGACCTGGTGTACATCGGACTGCGAGATGTCGACCCCGGAGAGCAGTGAGTACATGCGCTCATGTATAAATTTTTAAATATATTCTGCTGTTTTTCACTTTTCCAACATGTAAGCCTTGAGAATTTTTTTATGTACTGTATTCTGTAGCCACCTCCTAAAGACACTGGGCATCCAGTACTTCAGCATGAGAGATATCGACAGATTGGGCATTCAAAGGGTCATGGAGGCCACTCTTGATCATCTTCTGGCGAGGTAAACAGTCAGCCACTATAGGACCATTGTGTTTTATTTTGGTGACTTTTAAATGATCTTGACTTGTTCACCAGAAAGCAGCGCCCCATCCACTTGAGCTTCGACATCGATGGGTTTGATCCATCGCTGGCTCCTGCAACTGGAACACCGGTCAACGGAGGTTTGACATACAGAGAGGGCATCTACATCACAGAGGAAATCCACAACACAGGTACCAAACTAACTAGTTAGTCCCTTATGTCCTTTATTTCTGGTGTGCTAATGTGTGTTTGTGTTGATGCATAGGTTTGCTCTCTGCCGTTGACCTGGTAGAGGTGAACCCCTTCCTGGGAGCAAACCGAGAAGCCGCAGAGACCACAGCCTCGTTAGCGGTCGACGTCATTGCATCATCACTGGGACAAACCAGAGAAGGGGCTCACGCCTCCATCGACACCATGACTGCTGTGAAAAATGACACAGAGCTGCTCTGCCTCTGAGGACATCAAGCAAACTTACAAACTTTAAATCTAACCATTCCACAAATTTACCGCCTGCTGTTTCATCTGGAAGTCAAAAGTAACAAAAAGCAAAATAATTTCTGGAATCCTGAAAACACGAAAAGGACCTTGAGATGTTTGTTACCCTGAGTCAAACCTTTGAGAATATGTTTGGAAATTAATGCACTTGCTGATGGAACTGTGAATAATGTAAGAGGCAATACTATTTATTTTGTTACTGTGTGTTGGAGTGAGTGTGACGCATGTCCGGTGTTTGAGAACAGAATGCCTCAGAGGCACGAACAAGTCTGACTTTGACATAAATGGTAAATGGCTTGTTTTTGATATAGCGCCTTCTAGGGTCCTGGAACCCCCCCCCCCCCCCCCCCAAGGCGCATTCACACACACATTCACACACTGGTGATGATGAGCTACGATGTAGCCACAGCTGCCCTGGGGCGCACTGACAGAGGCGAGGCTGCCGAGCACTGGCGCCACCGGTCTCTCTGACCACCACCAGCAGGCAATGTGGGTTTAGTGTCTTGCCCAAGGGCACAACGACAGCGATAGACTGAGCAGGGCTTGAACCTGCAACCTTCCTTTAACGGGACGAGCACTTAACTCCTGTGCCACCGTCGCCCCAACATTCATTGACTGATATGGACTAAAAGATTTTATGGCTGTGCCAGATAGTTTAGTCACTTTTCATTTTTGGACAAGCTGCGGTTACTGTTTTTTTTTTTCTTTAGAGTTAATATTTGTATTTGAATCTACATGAATTAAAATTAGAGGTCACTACAGTGCTGGTGAAAATGCACACTTACATAGTTATTGGTCACTAGTTTGGTTTTATTTCTGGTGGCATGTTACAGAGAGCTTTTATTTTGGTCTTCCATAAAAGTCGTTAACTTTTTGTTTGCTTGAATGTGTCTTATTCTTACTTTAGTAATGGAATTTTCTGAAAATAAAACAAAGCTCTAATTTCCACCAAACATTTCTCCATGTGTATTTAAATCCACATCACACAAAGTTTAAAGGGAATAAATATTCTCTGGGAATAAAAAATAGTCTATTCCACCTTCTCTCTATTCATTAGTCTGTCCCATTGGTGCCATTAGGTAGAAAAATTAGAGCGTTGAGATTAAAGTCAGATGAAACCAAACTACCGTGAGGAAGTGAACCCGAAGGCTCCTGGGTGTTTTCACTAAGGAAACTACAAGAAATACAGCATTCTCTTGGTTTTAGTTTTTAGTTGGTTATTTGTGCAGCAGCGTACACAGTGGAACTTCCTTCAATCCTTCACAATAAGAGTCTCAAACGCACGTACCACGAGATATCTGAAGATTCTAAACATTATCTGTTAATGTTATCGTGGATTTCTAATAAGTTACTTGTGTTCAGATTTAAGTTACCGTATCAACTCTAAGATAATATCTTAATAGTATTTTATGGATAGTCACTATTTACATGAGGTATTATGGGTATTGAAGGTCTTCGCTCCAATGATGGTTCTGTGTTCAGTTCCCTTTTTTTTTTAATAGCAAACACATTTTTAAATACCATTTTTGACTCAACTGTTAGATTTTTTTCTTAATATTTTGACCCCACAACTATTTTTTCCGGAGCGGCCCTAATATGCCGTTGCACATTACAAAATACTATTTCCCATTGTTTTACATTTTAGCTGACAGATAAAGCACGGAAGCTAGAAACTGATTAGATTAAATTTCAGAGTAATAGAACAGATATTTAACTCGGAACCAAAGAAGCACGTTGAGATCTTTGCAATGAGTAAAACAAAAATACTTAAATAAAAGTTTTTGTATCTTTGCTAAAGCATGTCATGCAATGACCATTTGATGCTTTTGTAAACGAAAACTCTAGAAAATAAAAAGGAGGTCACCAAACATGTTTTGTTCTGTTCCTTCTGAGAAGCGATAGCAAAGCTGTAGAAAAACAGAGTGACAGATGTGCTGCTTCACTAGCTGCGCCATAAATAACCTTATCGACAGTTATTTGGGAATAAATTCCATAGTAACAAATGTTGACCTTTTCACCACCATTATTGTTTTTTCCTGGCAGCGTTTTCATTTGTCTGGGCGTTTAGCCACAGGTCTCATCAACTACTGTACTAGAGGGATTTTAATGAAACTTACAGAAAGTCTTCATCTGGTCTACATTTCAAATGTGTGGAGTCAATCCATCTAACAATTCAAGTTGGCTACAGATATTGGGCTTATATTTGGTGGCAATTGCAGAGTCATTCGGAACACCTACATGGCCCAGTCAAACATTACCCAGTCAGACAAGAATCTGCCAAACCTTTCAACCCTCCCACTGTCTTTTTGGGTGACCCAGCGAGGAAAGTTGACTATTGTGACAGATTTATGGTTTATCCCTTGAGGTCCATGTGTCAGGGGTGAGGTTGTGCTCACTCCTCACCCCTGACACATGGACCCAAGGGATAAACCATCAACCCTGCTCAATGGTACACTTTCCTCGTAGGGTCACACCATCGACATTATATATATATATATATATATATATATACACATATATACCACACCCATTAGGACAGTGGAAGGGTTAAGACCAAACGTGATTTCAGAGTAAAAAACGTGATAGAAGAGTAGTAGTGCACTTCATTCACCTCCCTTTCTGATTGGCTACACATCACATTTAACAGCCAGCACAATTGTTTCTTTTCAAAATCCTGATCAGGACAATCTAACATGTTGAATATTCCCGATTTATGATCCTAGCAGTTCCAACATGCTTCCAAACAGAAAAGAACTCTTAACTCACCACACACAGCAGGGATATCTGATGAGATTATCTTTAGAGCCATCACGGTAATAAGGTGTGTCCTTAAGATTGCTCGAAAAGAAGAATTGCATCAAAATCATCACAATCATTGTGGCGTATGAACCGGGCCTTAGTGTGATTCTGCATAGTGTATTTTTTTCTTTTTTTAACTAAAATTGAGCTAAAAACTTCAATTAGTGCACGAAAAGTACACGTGAGATTACATTTTCGTTTTATTTACATTAATTTTATACAAGTGTGTTACCTGCATACGGCACAAAGCTACTACACCAAAACCTGGCATCATTCTTCACATTTAGCATTTCATTCATTCATCCATCAGTTCATTACAACCATTAGTGACCAACGCCACAAAAGCAGATTAAACTGGTGTCACCTAAAGTTAACGTTTCAGGTGTGCTCCATCTGTCAGATTTCCCTCTGACGAAGGATATTGTTGACTTGTCTTCTGGGATCTGTGGCACCAGCAAGTCTAGATCATCGTCCAACAGGAGCACATCACCAGCATCAACAGAAGAGATAAACAGCACAAATCTTATAGAGTTTCTGGTCATTTGGTCCAGTGACAGCTTCCAAACTTTGCCATTGGTGGAGAGAATCCACAGTAAAAGTCCAACACCTCGATGCAGTTACAAAACAGTATTATTGCTACTGGGCAGAGAAGAGAAACGGTGGTTGAGATCCACGGATGTTTACAACTCATTAATGTCTGAAGAACTTGAGGTAAATCACAGCTCCTAGAATGGCCGACTCCATCAGGATTATGACCGCTAGTAGCAGCTTGTTCGTCATGAGCCTGCAGGACAGAAATCGTGTTTTAGTTTCCTCTCAGATCCTCTCAGTAGCACTTTTCTATCTCAACACCTTGTTTCTATCCCATAAACTAGCTCCATCTAAATTACAGGGAAATGTCAGTTATTTGGATGTTTTCTATGTAAAACTTAAAATATTTCCTATTTAAATAACTCCACAACTCTAAATATACCATTCTAATGAACAGCTGCTATGTTTTAAAGCTACAATGGCAAATCTGCAAAACAAGCTAGCTTTCAAACATCGTATATCTATAAATATATTGTGGGGATAAAAAAAAGAAGGCTGTTCAGAGATCAGCAACTACTAATCACCACTTTTACACAGAAAAACAAAGTCAACTTGTGCGTACTTCCTTCACTGACATCATTTTAGTACGTTTTAATGAAACACACTAAAATCACCCTTTACTGACTCCGCAGGAAGAAAAATCTTAAGTGTTAAACGACCAAACCAGCTGGAATTAGCAGACTTGTCATATATTGAAAGATAAAACTGAAATGAAAACCTTCTCCTGGACTGGTGCTTACTTTCGTGATATGGAACGAAGAATTTTTCGGCTTTTGCTGAGGTTCTCTCCTGTGTTCACCAGCTACAGAGAAACAGCAAAGCGTAGATTTACCAAACAGAAATATGTCAGTAACATTATAATATATATATTATTATATATATATATATCTCATTGTTAGACAAAACCAAAATAGCATGATTTAAATAAAGGCAACACTGGAGCTATCTCACTGAGACTTGGCTCACATTAACTATCAGAACAAGTTAACCGGCATTTTTCTCTCACTCTGTCTCTGGCTCGGTCTAGCTGCTCCCTCTGCTCTCCCAGCTCTTCGATGATGTCTGTGCCAATCCGCTCCGATTCTGCAGCCAGGCGATGACTTTGTTCGATACTCTGGCTGGCGCTGTTCAGATACTCCGTGCCCTGGAGCAACAAAGCTCTCTGGGACTGCAGGTTTGTCTGCACAGGTGGACAAATGACACTAATTAAGATGATGATGATTCTAGCAAACGAGAGAGTACTGGTTTGTTTTTGGTGAATGCATTACATGTGCTGCTTATGTAACTTCTGACACTCACACTTTGCTGATTTTGTGATGAATAGATACCATGATGGCCTCCTTGCACCGTGTGGGAAGATGAGCCAGACCCCGGAGCAGAGATTTTCATCTCCCTCTGCAGCTTGCCTAGATCTCTGCGATAAAAGCGCAGCTTCGTACTCATGGCATTTCTGTAAGACGCGGGTGCAGAACGCAGCTCCTCTTCCATTCCCTGTAACTGGAGGCAGACATGGACACATGGCATGACACCAGAGGAAGAGGTAAGGCTCGTCTCTTGTAATGGAGATAGAATCACTCTGTTTTAAACTAACTAAATTCCATGTTTTGCATTAAATCCAACTAAGCTGGAACAACTTCAACTCATAAATGTTGGAAACCAGTTTAAAATCAGATTGATGCTAGGAACACCTAATAGGGCCAATAAAACTTGATTCGGTAAACATTTTAGATTAACATAAATAGCTCATCACCCAATCAGACTGCAGCACATCTAAGACATGTATAGATCTAGAGCAGGGGGTCTCCAACACGTTGCTGACGCACTTGAAAGTCGCTCACCTGGAAGCAACCAGCAGCCATCCTGACCTACCAAAAAGTTGTTACTGATACATTCTAAAAAAATGTCAAATCCTACACAAGAATTAGATTTGTTATTCAATATCTGAAAGTATCTTTTTAGTTAAAACAAAATGTTTTGTTTTGTTGGATTTTCAGAATGTCACCATTTTCCTTGTAATTTGTTTATAATATTGATGTTTCAGGGGTGGACATTAACTTCAAAACCAATCGGCCAGCCGGGCCGGTAACTCTGAATATTTACCGGATCCACCAAGAATCTACCGGCCCCGCTGGTCAGCTGCCAAAACGAGTCAAAATAATAACGGAACTGTTTAAATGTAATAAACCTTTATTTTGTACACATTCACAAACATAATAACGTATTCAAGTTTGAATTGGTTTGTTCCCTCAACAAAACTCGATTTTGTCGTCGCATACTTCCGGCATACAACGCAGTACATCACCAACTCCGCTTTGCTGTACTCGAGCCATCGGCTGTGTTCGAGATGAGCCAGTTCTGCGCAGACTAGACCAGCGGTGATCGGCGAGCAGTGCATGCCGGTTAGATTTGTGTCCGAATTGATGCCGACTTGCTCTGACGTCATGCATACGTAGACAACGATAAACTTGTGAGATCAAGGCGGCCGCAGATTTTGGAGCAAGGCGCTGCAGTTACTCTTCCACGGCTGCAAAACCTAGAGGATGACGGGAAACGCCTGGCTCTCACCTGATCTAAGATCTGATTGGTTCATATTTTGATCCAAACATTCGGTGGTAGAACATGAAATGTTAGTTGGTCACATGTATTCTGTAAATCATGTTACGTTGATGATGACAACAATGTAGGCCATAAAGAGAAATGTGTTTTGTTTTCTTTTGTCACATTTCCTGTGGGCACACTAAACCTACAGCTGATAACCTTTAATTATTACAGTCAGGTCTTCATATACAATATATGATATCCACAAGCACGTGAGGATGTTTCAGCTGCTAACAGGCACCAGAATTAAAAGTGAAAATTGAACAAGTGTGAATGCTAACGTGATATCTTCATCCATCGTCACCCCCGAGCTACACATGCAGGAAAATCCAAGAGATTCAACTGGCAGAAACAACTGGTTCACACCATAGTCTCTCTCTCTCTCTCTCACACACACACACACAAACACACACACACACACACACACACACACACACACACAAACACACACACACACACACACACACACGTAGAGGAAAAGAGCTGAGCAAATGGAGGACAAGTAGTTAAAAGAAAAACTACAGCTGAGCCGAGGCGCGCCTCGAAAGGGGCGCGTCTGATCTGAACTGAGGAGCGGCGAGCAGCGGCCGAATTTCGTGAGCAATTCGCCTCTCGGCGCTTCGGGCGCTTCCGCGGCCGGTGTGTCCCCGGCGAAACGCCGGCTTTCAGCCACTCCCCCCGCTGCTTCCGTCTTCTCTCGCCTGTTTTCCAGGCGAGGCGCTGCTCAACTCGAACACGGCCATCCTCTGCGCCTCCCGTCTTCTTTAAACCACCAAGAATCATTCCACCTACGCACACGCTTCTCTGCTTCATACCGTTTCGAACTGTCTCACTTCTCCTCACCAGTTTTAAAGCGTTTTGCCGGAGATTTCATCAAGAAATCCCATCCCTGTGGTGGCGCGATCTCCCTGCGTGCTTGTGTGTTTCTAGCGTGGTTGGTTCCACTTCGTCTTTAATAGTGAACTTATAGTTCACGTGACAATAACTAGAATGTGCAGTACGTGCACGAATCGTACAAGTGCAGAATGTGGCTAGAGGCGCGCAGGTTCACGCGCGCGAAACGAAAACGGCGGCTTCCTACAGGGCGGGGCCATGATGCAGGTGAAAGCCGGTGTGTAAATGACAAATAAGGCTTGGGCGCCACCCGGGCGGTAAGTCGTCAAGTATTTACCGCCCGACGAGAAAATTTAGCGCCATTGGCGCTCGGGCGCTTTAAAGGTCCACCCCTGTGTTTTTGGCCTGTGGGACTCCAGAGGCAGCTGACGGTACCGGCAGTCCAAGCGGAACGCGGCTCGGGTGGTCGCCAAGGCAAAAACCCGGGCATGGGAGGAGTTCGGTGAGACTATGGAGCAAGACTTCTGTACGGCTTTGAGGATATTCTGGTCCACCATCCGGCGCCTCAGGGGGGGGAAGAAGTGCACTACCAACACTATCTATAGTGGGGACGGTGTGCTCCTGGCCTCTACTCAGGACATTGTGGATCGGTGGGCAGAATACTTCGAAGACCTCCTCAATCCCACCGGCACGTCTTCCAGTGAGGAAGCAGAGTCTTGGGACTCAGGGTTGGCCTTTCAAATCTCTGGTGCTGAGTCACTGAGGTGGTTAAAAAGCTCCTCTGTGGCAAGGCTCCGGGGGTGGATGAGATCCGCCCGGAATTCCTTAAGGCTCTGGATGTTGTAGGGCTGTGTTGGTTGACGCCGCTCTGCAATATCGCGTGGACATCGGGGGCAGTACCACTGGACTGGCAGACCGGGGTGGCGGTTCCCTTCTTTAAAAAGGGGGGCCGCAGGGTGTGTTCCAACTACAGAGGGATCACACTCCTGAGCCTTCCTGGTAAGGTCTATTCAGGGGTTCTGGAGAGGAGGGTCCGTCGGATCGTTGAACCTCAGATTCAGGAGGAGCAATGTTGTTTTCGTCCTGGCCGTGGAACACTGGACCAGCTCTATACCCTTAGGGGGATCCTGGAGGGTGTGTGGGAATTTGCCCAACCAGTCTACATGTGTTTTGTGCATTTGGAGAAGGTGTTTGACCGCGTCCCTCGGGGGGCCCTGTGGGGGGTACTCCGGGAGTATGGGGTACCAGGCCCTCTGATACGGGCTGTTAGGTCCCTGTATGACCAGTGTCAGAGCTTGGTCTGCATTGCCGGCAGTAAGTCGTGCTCATTCCTAGTTAAGAGTTGGACTCCGCCAAGGCTGCCCTTTGTCACCGATTCTGTTCATAATTCGTCAATGCCTGGTAATTCAAATAAAGAGGTCCTTGTCTATGCTCTGTTAAGATTCACAAAGTGACTCTTCATTCATTCTTGAAGAAGTAATGGATGCTCTTGATGTTAATGCAGAGCCAGTCAAGTTGAAGCTGTCCACAATGTCGTCCAAGGAAACAATTGTACCATGCAAAAGAATCAAAGGTTTACAAATAAGAGGGTTATCTTCTAAGAAGATCACAGTGCCAACGGTCTACACTCGTGAATTCATACCTGCCAATCGCACACGCATTCCAACATCTGAGACAGCAAGGGCATGGCCTCATTTAGAGCATCTTGCAGAACACATTGCCCCGCCGAAGAACTGTGAAATCGGTCTTCTTATTGGGTAAACTGTCCACAAGCACTGATGCCAAGAGAAGTTGTATGTGGTGAGGACAACCAGCCCTTCGCACAGAAAACTGACGTAGGCTGGAGCATAGTAAGCTATGGTGATCCAAGTGAAAACTACAGTGATGCAATTGGAGTAAGTCACCGCATCATTGTAAGGCAAGTGATTCCTGAACCCAAAGTAACAAGTAATCTGAAGAGCAATGTTCATTATGTCTTCAAAACAAGAATTAAAGAACTGACTGCTCCAGAAGAAGTACTTAAGGTGCTGGAATCGGACTTCAGTGAAAGACTTAGAGAAGAGGCAAATCTTTCGCAAGAAGATCTCCAGTTTTTGACCAAAATGAAGAAAGAAATTAGACACAAAGAAGACGGACATCTTGAAATGCCTCTGCCTTTCAAACAGAGTAGGCCAGAGTTACCAAATAACAAACCATGTGCTGTCCAACGCCTTAAGTGCTTGGAGAGGAGGCTCAAGAGAGACCAGAAATATCAGGCAGATTACATGAACTTCATGAAGGACATTATCAGTCGTGGTGAAGCAGAAAGGGTCCCAGAAGAGGAGCTTGATAGACACTCAGCTTGGTATATTCCTCACCATGGCGAATACCACCCTCAAAAACCAGAGAAACTGCGAGTGGTCTTTGATTGCTCGGCAAGATTTCAAGACATGTCATTGAATGACTACCTTCTTACAGGTCCTGAGCTCACAAACACCTTGATGGGAGTTCTTTGTAGATTTCGAAAGGGCCCAGTCGCTATTATGTGTGATGTGGAACGAATGTTCCATCAATTCCATGTAAAGCCTGAGGACCAAGACTACTTGAGGTTCTTATGGTGGGAGAATGATAATCTCGAGGCTCCACCATCAGTTTTTCAGATGAAAGTCCATTTGTTTGGAGCAGCTTCTTCACCTGGCTGTGCCAATTTTGGACTTAAACATCTAGCCACAGAAGGTCGGGATCGATTTAACGAAAGCACTGTCAGGTTCATCCGAAGAAATTTTTATGTTGATGATGGTGAGTGTAGAGTCTGATGCGGAGGCAATTGAACTGATCAAGGAAGCTAGAGAGCTTTGCAGTGCAGGCAAGCTTAGACTGCACAAGTTCATTTCCAACAGCAAGAAGGTATTGGAATCAATACCAAGGGAAGAATGTGCTGACAGTGTCAAAGAGCTGGACATAGATTTAGGGAAGCCACTCCTAGAAAGAGCACTGGGCGTGCAATGGTGCGTATCCTCTGATGACTTGCAGTTCAGAGTAACTGTCAAGAAACACCCGATGACGAGAAGGGGAGTGCTATCCAC